CCATGTTTTGATACGATTCAAATTGGGAAAGATAGCCTTGGTCTAGGGCTACCAAATAATTGAGTTTGAGAGAATTCTAACAGTAACTTTTGCGTCGACGGCGTTTCTTGTGAGCGCGACTTTTCTGTCCAGAATTCTAAGCCAACGATTTTGAGAAATTTAGGCACCTTATCTCCGTAGACTCCGTCCTTAGTCCCTAACAAGTGGTATCAGAGCAGATTAAGGACTTTGTGGAGAGTTTACTGAAGTGTGAAGACCCTCCTAGACCCACCATGGCCTGTGGGCGTGCCTAAGTGGAGTTCTGGAGGTTGGATGTGACTTCCGCTAAGGGGAAACTCCGCCGAAATTTCGTTGGCGCCGACACTTGTGAAAATATTGTGGGACTTTGGTGTGGACAGCAAGGGGGGAGCTGAAACCTGTGATTGGGAGAAGAGGAGATGAGTCAAGGAAGTGGAGATGCAGCTGACAAGAGGAATGAGCCGCCACCATCCAAGATAGAACCATTTGATGGCTCCAACTACGAGGAATGGAGTGGGCGGATGAGGAGTGCCTTCAAATGGTACAAGCTACTGAAGTTGGCTATGGGGGAAGAGAAGATGCCAGAGGAAGGAGATGCCCGCAATCGATGGATTGAGAAGAGCGCGGTACTGTACAACCTCATCCTCCAGTCGGTCAACAACGACATGTTCCAGCACATCAAAGATTTGGTGGAGCTCGATGACTCGGGACCGAAGGCGTGGAAGCTACTACGAGACGTGATACAACCCAACACGCTGCCGATAGTGATTGTGTTGGAGAAGGAGCTGGCTGCCCTCTCCATGCGACCGAGTGATGATGTGAAGCCGGTCCTTGACAAGATCAAGGACACCTATGCGAGGATGGCAGCGGCGGGCAGCAAGGTGTCGCAGATGCAGCAGTGCACCAAGATCATCTCGGTGCTTCACAACACATGGGAAAACCTCATCCCCACCCTCAACACTCAGCAGGTCCAGTGGACACCTGAGTGGCTACGGCAGCAGATTCTGCAAGAGGATTTCCGCAGACGCCACACGGGAGGTGGTGCTGCCAACAAAACTGCTGAGGGGTATGCAGCAGCAGGAGGCAGTAGAGGAAGAGGGGGTGGGAGAGGCCGAGGCCGTGGGAGAGGCTTTGGCAGAGGGAGAGGCCGAGGTGACTACAACGAGGGGCATGGGAGCTCTGGTGGCAGGGGGAGCACCCGAATGGAGGGTGCGTGCTGGTACTGCAAGAAGGCTGGACACCCATGGTTCAAGTGTTTCAGTCAGCCTGAAGGATGGGCGCCTCCAGGCATGAAGCCGCCAAGTGGTGAACGCGCAGGAGGTGGCGCTGTACAAGGTTCAGGTGCACAAGGTGAAGGTGCACAAGGTAAAGCTGACCCCGGGATGTTCCTCATGGTTGAAGATGTGAAAGAGAGTGAGGATGATGTGGGTTCGGTTGGGAAGGTTGTGATGCACCCCCTCACTCACTGGGTGATCGATTCAGGATGCACAAGTCACATGACCCCAAGGGCAGATTTGCTTGATGAGGTAAAGCCCCCTGGGAAGATCAAATTTGTGGCTGCCGCTTCATGTGCCTTGCTCCCTGTGATTGGTGTTGGGAATGCCAAGGTGATGGGAGCCAAGGGGGAGCTTGTGGGGCTTGGGAATGTCCTGTTAGTTGAAGGTTTATCCGCTAACCTCCTCTCTGTGCGCCGACTGCAGAAAAGCAAAGCCAAAGTTACATTCGGCCCAACCAGCTGCCGTGCAAAGCTTGGGAAGTTGCTGCTGTGGGATTTGGAGGAGAAGAGCAGCTGCATCAAGGACCTGTGGCAGCTGCCCATCATCCCTTGGAATGGGAAACCACCAGCAACGGCAACGGCAGCGGCAGCGGCTAAAGCAACTGCGGGAGGAGAGGAGACTGCACCAACTGCTGGGGCCCTGGATGCAGTCAAGAAGGTGCAGCAGCCACAGCAGCCACATGGTGAGGTGCTTGCTGGTGTGGATGCGAGAGCTGCATGGGCAAAGGCTTCACCTGGGAGTGGTGAAGCCGATTGGGAGACATGGCACGAAAGGATGTGTCATGTGAACTTTCCAATGCTGCAGAAGTTGGTGAAGGATGGGAGCTTGAAGGGGCTAGAGGTGAAAGGGGCAGCAAAGGAGATTGGGAGCTGCCCTACATGCCTTGAAACCAAATTCGCAAAATTTCCCTTCAGCAGCAGGACAGGACCAGCCAAGGCACCACTCGCGCTTGTGCACATGGATGTGGTGGGCCCCACGAGGGCCCTTTCTCTCTCGGGCAGCCGCTACTTCTTGACCATTGTGGACGACCACACGCGTGCGGTGTGGGTCTACCCTCTGAAGACTAAGGGGGAGGTGGCAGCGGCTGTTCTTAAGGAGTGGATGCCGAGAGCTCAAAGGGAGAGCGGACACAAGGTGAAGGTGATCCGCACTGACAACGGGGGAGAATTCATTGGCGCTGATTTTGAGGCGGTGCTGAAGAAGAAGGGGATCCAGCATCAGCTCACGGTGCCCTACAACCCTCAGCAGAACGGCGTGGCTGAGCGGTTCAACCGGACCCTGCAGGAAGGTGCTCGCACTCTTCTTGGGCGTGCAGGGCTGCCGGATCTGTTTTGGGTGACGGCACTGCGGCAGGTTGCTCTTGTGAAGAACCGGGTGTTGGCGACTGTGGGGGACAAGCAGTGGGTCCCCTACACCAAGTGGTATGGGAGTGCGCCAGCAGTCAACATGCTCAGAGCCTACGGGTGCATGGTGGTGTTTCATGTGCCGAAGGAGAAGAGGGGAAAACTGGAGGCTTCTGGGAGATGGGGTGTGCACTTGGGGCTTGCTAAGGATCACAAGGGCTGGTTGATATGGGACTTGACCAGCCAGCAGCTGACTGTGTCGAGGGATGTGAAGTTCCTCGAGTCCTTATACTACAAGGAGTGGAAGCAGCAGCAGCAGAAGCTTCCTACTACACCGCTGATCATTGAGGCTGATGAGGTGCAGCGGCCTTCGAGGCAAGTGCAAGTCACTGTCTCAGAGGATGAAATCTCTGGGGTGACTGAGGATGGGGGAGAACCTGAGGTGGAGGAGCAGCAGCAGCAGCAGCCGCAGCAGCAGCAGCAAGGTGCTCCACAAGGTGCCGCACGTCCGGCTGACCGTCCTAGGAGGGATGTGCGCCCTCCTAACCGGCTGACCTATCCGAGCTTTGGCAAGCCAAAGGTGGTAAGGGCTGGGAGTGTGGCTGAGCAGTGTGATGAGGAAGAGATAGCACACTGCTACTGGGCAGCCATCCCTGAGCCCAAGACGCTAGCTGAGGCATTGAGCGGGCCCGATGCTGAAAAGTGGAAGCAGAGTGTGAAGGAGGAGTATGACTCTCTGCTGGAGAATGAGACGTGGGAGCTGGCTCCTGGGAAGAAGGCCATTTCTTCCAAGTTGATCTTCAGGCATAAGTACGGACCTGATGGGGCGCTGACCCGTTACAAGTCAAGGCTTGTGGCTAAGGGGTTTCAGCAGACAAAGGGGAAGGACTTTGACGAGATTTTTGCTCCTGTGGGGAAAGGCACAACATTGCGGGTGTCATTGGCAATGGCAGCAAACCGTGGATGGTGGGTGAAGCAGATGGACATTACCACCGCCTTCCTCAATGGAATAATTTTGGAGGAGCTGTACATGTTACAACTTGAGGGATTGGATGATGGGAGCGGCAGGGTGTGCAGGCTGAAGAAGGCCATCTATGGCCTGAAGCAGGCTCCTCGCGCCTGGTACCACAAGCTGGAGGAGACACTGCTGGCTGGGGGGTTCAAGAAGAGTGAGTGCGACCACAGCTTGTTCCTGCTGCAAGAGAAGGAGCAGTTCCTTATGCTCCTGGTGTATGTGGACGACATCCTGCTCTTCCCCGAGTCGTCTGCGATGATTGAGCGTGTGGAGGATGTCAACGGGAGTTGTGTGTTGGCCCCGTCCTCGCTTGGGCGGAGCTGACTCCGTGGTCGGGTGTGAGGGGAGCAACCGACCTGCAGCAGTGGGCAAGCTGGTTGACGAGGAGGTCGACCTGCACGGGGGCCACTGCACGGGCGCCGACTTCAGGGTGGCGCCGACTTCAGGGAGGTCGACCTGGGAAGTCGACCTGCGGAGGACGTCAACTTGGTGACGTCAACTTGGGGCAGCCGACTTGGGTGGTCGGCTGACAGGCCTGCTGGTCGACTTGGTGGTAGGTCGACCAGGCGTGATGTCGACCTGGTGGTCGACCTGACCTGGTGGTCGACGAAGGAGGGGCCGACGTCGACCTCAACTCAGGACGACGAGCAGCTGGGCGTCGGGTAGCAGGGCGTCAACTTGGTGATGCCGACTTCGGGTAGCCGACTTGGGTGGTCGGCTGACAGCTGCGCTGGTCGACGTGGAGCTGGTCGACCTGGAGCTGGTCGACCAGGGGTGTGGTCGACCTGGTGAGGTCGACTTGGGGTGGTCGTCGACTTGGGAGGTCGACGGGCACATACTCGAGCAGCTGGTCGACATGGTTGCCCGGTCGACCAGGTTACCTGGGTGACGAAGTCCTGCGGAGGAGTGCGATGGTCGCCCAGGCGAAGTTAGGCGAGCCCGACCTCGGTGGTGGTATCCCGAGGTCGACGTGGCTGATCCACACCACTGCCAAAAAGGGAAAACACACCACTGCTGCATGTGCTGGCCAGCAGTGCTGATCACCAGTGCTGATATGTGTGACAGTGACAGCAGCCGTGAGGAGGTCCTGAATCCAACAGCAAGTGGGGTTGGAAGGACAAAGACACCTATCAGCGATTCAAGGGGCGCCAATGGGTTCGGTGCGGTGGGAATGGATGCAGGGTTAGAGGCAGCTCTCGAGGCGGATGGCTTGGCTGCCGCTCACGATCTGATGGTGCGTTTCCTCCTGTTCTCCAAAGGGTATGTATGTATCCTGTGCCTCCTGCATTCCATTCCAATCTACCTCCTTCCATACGTCATTCGATTCTTGCGTTGCCTTACATCCAAATGCCTCATTTATTCGTCACTATATCCTTCTTGGCGTCTCTCTTTAAATCCCTCACGTCTTGCCGTACTTGCCTGCTCATTCCTTACCTCATCTCCTCATTCCTTCTCACAGTTCCTTCGCACACCTCCTCACTCCTTCCCAAACCTCCTCATCTCTTCTCACAGCTCCTCATCCCTTCTCACACCTCCTTATTCCTTCTCACATGTCCTCATTCCTTCCCATTCCCAAGGTTCAAAATTACCAACGTATTTATGAAATTGATCTACGATTTCTCACAGGAGCCTATTAAAAGAAACCGTATAAAACGGTAACATTTCAAAAATACGACCGTAATTTTGAACCTTGCCCATTCCTCCTTCCAGGCGTCTCTCTCTGAAGCCCTCACTGCGTGCCGCACTCGCCTGCTTGCAGCCCACGCGGCTGCCGAGTCATTCCTTGTGGATGTGGAAAACAGCCACTTGCAGGATACTGCTGTTGGTGCTGCTGGTGCTCTTGATGCTGCTGGTGCTGCTGATGCTGCTGGTGCTGCTGATGCTGATGCTGCTGATGCTGCTGGTGCTGCTGATGCTGATGCTGCTGATGCTGCTGGTGCTGCTGATGCTGATGCTGCTGATGCTGCTGGTGCTGCTGATGCTGATGCTGCTGATACTGCTGGTGGTGTTGCTGTTCCTGATGGTGGCGCTGCTGGCGTTGCTGGTGCTGATGCTGTCAACCCTGGAATTTGCAACAGCAGCAGCGGCAGTGGAAGCAGCAGTGATGGCGATGGTGCGTTCACCAGCAGTGCAATGGGCAGCAGAGGAAGCGGTGGTTTCCTGGAAGGAGACCGAGACGACATGTACGATGACATCATGGCTGACATCAGCACAAGCTCAACTCTTGCAACTCACAGCCGAGAACACCAGGGCGCCGGCCCACACGTAAAAGCAGAGGCCGCCAGCTCAGCATTGCCAGCTGGCGTTTTTTACTATTCTCAGGGGTTGCATGAGGGTTACCCTGGGAGTATGGATAGGACGCAACATGGCTTTGACTTCTCCCAGAGCGGCCCGGAAGACGAGTGGGAGGAGGAGGAGATAGAGAGTGTGGAGCAGGTGGAGCGGGCGGTGAGGGGGCGGTTTGGGGGGTTCCTGCGGACGGTGAGTGCGGAGCATGTGGCCAAGCACGTCAAAGGCAAGCTGCCCGAGGAAGCCACCGGGAAGCTTCTGCGCTGGTGGACCGAGCATGTCAGCTGGCCGTATCCTACCGTGAGTGTGAGAGCATGTGGCTACGGTTTAGGGCTGTGTGTGTGCGTGCGGGCGTGTGTGCGTGTGGGCGTGCGTGTGGGCGTGTGTGCGGGCGTGTGTGTGGGCGTGTGTGTGGGCGTGTGTGTGGGCGTGTGTGTTTGTGTGTGTGTGTTTGTGTGTGTGTGTGTGTGTGTGTGTGTGTGTGTGTGTGTGTGTGTGTGTGTGTGTGTGTGTGTGTGTGTGTGTGTGTGTGTGTGTGTGTGTGTGTGTGTGTGTGTGTGTGTGTGTGTGTGTGTGTGTGTGTGTGTGTGTGTGTGTGTGTGTGTGTGTGTGTGTATGTGTGTGTGTGTGTGTGTGTGTGTGTGTGTGTGTATGTGTGTGTGTGTGTGTGTGTGTGTGTGCATGTGTGTGTGTGTGTGAGCGCGCGCACCCGTGCCACTCTGTGCAAACGCCCCACCCCATGCTGTGAAATGGTAGGTGTGTGTGCTCATCCTTCTTTGGATTGCCGTCCGCCCTCCCTGAATGTGTTGGTGTCTACCCTTTCGGGATGCAGGAGCAGGAGAAGCTGCAGCTAATGGGGCAGACGGGGCTGGACTCGCGGCAGGTGAACAACTGGTTTATTAACCAGCGGAAGCGGCACTGGAACCAGCACAGCAAGAGGCAGCGCAAGGGCGTGTAGTTGAGCTGGTAGTGGCTGCAGTGGGACAGACGGGGCTGGACTCGCGGCAGGTGAACAACTGGTTTATTAACCAGCGGAAGCGGCACTGGAACCAGCACAGCAAGAGGGAGCACAAGGGCGTGTAAGGCGGATAGGTACTTGGTAGGTATGGATTTCACAGCAGCCATTGAAATTTTTACTTCAAGTGCACATTCGCAGTTGCTTCGGACACCTTATTATATATGCGGTTTCTGCATGCCCCAATCTAGTGACGACTAATAAACCAACCACATTTCTAAGGCAGGACGATCTAGATTGGAGGGAGGTGATCTGATTGTAGTGCACAGGTTGCTGAAGAATTTTTGAATGTGTAGAAGTTTGGTAATTCTGTAAACTACAAAGCTACAGTGCTAATGCGCAAATAATCGACTCTATGCAGGATCGATAGGGGGAGGGGAGTGCTCTGACATTGGCAAGAACGCGTTCGGTCCCCACGTGACCAGACTTTGCAGGTAACACGGACCGATTTCCGTCGCCAAGGTGTTTCAGTTTAGGCGAAACGTTCCGCTCGCAAAACCTCGCATTTTATTGTTACCAGCAAATGTTTTGCCAACTCCAACCATTCCCTTCCCTCCTATTGGACTAGGCATTGCCAAACGCGTTCCATCCAGCCTTCGTTTCATTTGTGCATTATCAATCTGAGCGATAATGCACTCTTACAAGGCATTCCCGCAGTTCTCGCAACTCTGCGCCGCGAGCGCATGACTGGTTGTAGTACTACAAGGCGGAAGTCTTTTCGCCCTGCACCCCGTCGCGGAGTCTGAAGCCCGCCTCGTCCATCCGCAACCCGCCAGTGGGCTTTCTTCCCGTCATCCCTGGCCCCGTCCGCCTCTCCTTTTCACCGCGTATGGCGAAAATCGCTCTCACCCTCCCCTGCGCTGCTCCCTCCGCGCGGTACGCTGTGCGTTCGTCTCCTTCCGCGCGCCCCTCACCTTTCCGCAACGAAACGAAACGCGTTACATTACTGTCCGCGAGTCCACTCCGCAGCGCAAAATGTCAGATTACTGTTCTTAGTAGGAACAATGAACGAGTGTGCGCTTCACCACTCACTCTCTACACATATATCGACGCTTCCTTCCGAGGCCGTAATCACATTCTCACGCCACTTCCAGCTGATCACGTGTTGTCGCGCCTCTTCCTGACTCGCACTTTGCGAGCTCCACCCAATCCCACTTCGTCACGCCTATACGAGCCTCAGTATCTGAGACTGCGCTTCGACTCCTGTCTTGCAAAGCCGAAGCCTTCGACATCGTGGCCGTGACCTTTGATTCCTCTCGCCATGGTGGAACGCTCCGGGCGGCGGTCTGACGTTGGCGTTGGCGTTGGCGTTGGCCTGGGCGCGCTCGTCGCGGGACTCGTTGCACTCAGCCTCCTCGCGACCTACGCCAGCGCTACTAGTGAGTGCTGGATGGCTGCCGCCGCGCGCCCACCACTGGCATGGAAAAGACATGAGCACGGAAAAGACATGAGCACGGAAAAGACATGAGCACGGAAAAGACATGAGCATGGAAAAGAAATGAGCACGGAAAAGACATGACAGGCTACTGGTGCCCACTCTTGCTTCTCGCCCTCTTGTCTCCTCGCCCTCTTGCTCCTCGCCCTCTTTAGGCATGCTGCCAACTCAATTGCCCCCAACAGGCTTTAGTTGTGGAGTCGGGACCTGTTATGGGGAGGGTTCCTACTGCCTTTGGTATGGTACCAAAACCTTCGGGTGCGGGTGCAGCAATGGTTTTGCCTTGGCCGGATATACCTGCTAGAGAGGTGAGTGTAAATGAACAGCGTTTGCATCACGCTCATAAGCAATAACTTTCCTACTTTATCTCAACAACACATGATTTCCTTTGTAGCAGTGTGGGTGGGTGCTGGACGGTGGGTTAGTGCACGCATTGGGTTAATCAAAGTCGTGCATTTCACTCCCACAATCATTTCGCAATCAAAGCCCTTCTTTGCCTCGAACCACAACAATTTCCCATGCAGCTGAGTGTTTGACTTATATGGACTGCGGTGGAGATCCCTACAGTTATTGCTCTATCGAAGACGATAACACTCGCCGCTGCACGTGCTTCGATGATGCTAATGGTCACACCATGTACTACAACGCAACAACCAAGACATGCCATGGTGAGTGCTGGCATGTGAGTGATCCCTACAGTGCTGCATGCACTATCGCAGACGATAACACTCGCCACTGCACGTGCTTTGATGATGCTAATGGTCACTCCATGCACTACACCGCATTCCCCTGCAGACGCGTGTTATCAAGTGGATTGCGGCAGCAGTGCTTCCTGCTCTTTGGCCGATGGCACTCCCAAGTGCTCGTGCAAAGCTACTGGTTACACCTTCAATGGAGCAGACAAGACTTGCCATGGTAAGTGGAAGTGTGGGTGGGTTCTGGAGTGTGGGTGGGTGCTAGAGTGTGGGTGGGTGCTGGAGTGTGGGTGGGTGCTGGAGTGTGGGTGGGTGCTCGAGTGTGGGTAGGTGTTGGATATGGGTATGTTCTGAAGTGTGAGTTTGTTCTCACGATTAGGTAAAATCGTCCATTTCACATCTCCGGGCCCCTATTTCACCTTAAAATGATCATGCATTCCCCTGCAGACGCGTGTTATCAAGTGAATTGCGGCAGAAGTGCTTCCTGCTCTTTGGTCGATGGCACTCCCAAGTGCTCGTGCAAAGCTACTGGTTACACCTTCAATGAAGCAGACAAGACTTGCCATGGTGAGTGGAAGTGTGGGTGGGTTCTGGAGTGTGGGTTGGGTGCTGGAGTGTGGGTGGGTGTTGGATATGGGTGTGTTTTGAAGTGTGAGTTTGTCCTCATGATTAATAAAATCGTCCATTTCACATCTCCGGTCCCCTATTTCACCTAAAACCATCATGCACTCCCGTGCAGACGCGTGTTATCAAGTGGATTGCGGCAGCAGTGCTTCCTGCTCTTTGGCCGATGGCACTCCCAAGTGCTCGTGAAAAGCTACTGGTTACACCTTCAAGGAAGCAGACAAGACTTGCCATGGTGAGTGGAAGTGTGGGTGGGTTCTGGAGTGTGGGTTGGGTGCTGGGGTGTGGGTGGGTGTTGGATATGGGTGTGTTTTGAAGTAAAAGTTTGTTCTTACAATTAGTTAAAATCGTCCATTTCACATCTCCGTTCCCCTATTTCACCTAAAACCATCATGCACTCCCGTGCAGACGCGTGTTATCAAGTGGATTGCGGCAGCAGTGCTTCCTGCTCTTTGGCCGATGGCACTCCCAAGTGCTCGTGCAAAGCTACTGGTTACACCTTCAATGAAGCAGACAAGACTTGCCATGGTGAGTGGAAGTGTGGGTGGGTTCTGGAGTGTGGGTTGGGTGCTGGGGTGTGGGTGGGTGGTGGATATGGGTGTGTTTTGAAGTGTGAGTTTGTTCTTACAATTAGTTAAAATCGTCCGTTTCACATCTCCGTTCCTGTATTTCACCTTGAAACCATCATGACTTTCCCTGCAGACGCGTGTTATCAAGTGGATTGCGGCAGCAGTGCTTCCTGCTCTTTGGCCGATGGCACTCCCAAGTGCTCGTGCAATGCTACTGGTTACACCTTTAACGAAGCAGACAAGACTTGCAATGGTGAGTGGAAGTGTGGGTGGGTTCTGGAGTGTGGGTTGGGTGCTGGAGTGTGGGTGGGTGTTGGATATGGGTGTGTTTTGAAGTGTGAGTTTGTTCTTACAATTAGTTAAAATCGTCCATTTCACATCTCCGATCCCCTATTTCACCTTGAAACCATCATGCATTCCCCTGCAGACGCGTGTTATCAAGTGGATTGCGGCAGCAGTGCTTCCTGCTCTTTGGCCAATGGCACTCCCAAGTGCTTGTGCAAAGCTACAGGCGACACCTTTAACGAAGCAGACAAGACTTGCAATGGTGAGTGTGAGTGTGGGTTGGGTGCTGGAACGTGGGTGTGTGCTGAGTTGTATCATCCATTTCACTTCTCCTTTCCCCTATATCATCTTGAAACCATAATGAACTCCCCTGCAGATGCGTGTTATCAAGTGGATTGCGGGAAAAGTGCTTCCTGCTCTGTGACAGCCGCTGACACTCCCAAGTGCTCGTGCAATGCTATTGGTCACACCTACAACGAAGCAGACAAGACTTGCAATGGTGAGTAGAAGTGTGGGAGAGTGCTGGAATGTGGGTGGGTGCTGGGTACGGGAGTGTGCTGAAGTGTATTGTCCATTTTGTTGGCCCAGCCTGCTACCGACTGGGTTAGAAGGGCACGTTTTTATGATGGGTAGCATACCCATTACCCCCAGTCCGCGCCTGTAGCCCTCCCACACTCAACAGGGAACGATCCTAGTGCCCCATCATCACATTTCACATCTCCGTTCCCCCATTTCGCCTTGAAACCATCTTGAATTCCCTTGCAGACGCGTGTTATCAAGTGGATTGCGGGAAAAGTGCTTCCTGCTCTGTGACAGCCGCTGACACTCCCAAGTGCTCGTGCAATGCTATTGGTCACACCTACAACGAAGCAGACAAGACTTGCAATGGTGAGTAGAAGTGTGGGAGAGTGCTGGAATGTGGGTGGGTGCTGGGTACGGGAGTGTGTTGAAGTGTATTGTCCATTTTGTTGGCCCATCCTGCTACCGACTGGTTTAGAAGGGCACGTTTTTATGATGGGTAGCATACCCATTACCCCCAGGCCGCGCCTGTAGCCCTCCCACACTCAACAGGGAACGATCCTAGTGCCCCATCATCACATTTCACATCTCCGTTCCCCCATTTCGCCTTGAAACCATCTTGAATTCCCTTGCAGATGCGTGTTATCAAGTGGATTGTGGAAAAAGTGCTTCCTGCTCTGTTACAGCCGCTGACACTCCCAAGTGCTCCTGCAATGCTATTGGTCACACCTACAACGAAGCAGACAAGACTTGCAATGGTGAGTGGATGTGTGGGAGGGTGTCGGAGTGTGGGTTAACCAATTTTTTCCCTTTAAGGAAACCATAAACCCTTCTTTTCCTCGAATCACCACTGATTCTCCTGCAGATGCGTGCTATCAAGTGGATTGCGGGACAAGTGCTTCCTGCTCAGTTACAGCCGCTGGCACTCCCAAGTGCTTGTGCAATGCAACTGGCCACACCTTCAATGAAACAGACAAGACTTGCAATGGTGAGTGGAAGGGTGGTAGTGCTAGAGTGTGGGTTAACCAAATTCTTCCCTAGACCCTAAACCCCAAACCCTACACCATAAACGCTTCTTTTCCTCGAATCACCACTGATTCTCCTGCAGATGCGTGCTATCAAGTGGATTGCGGGACAAGTGCTTCCTGCTCTGTTACAGCCGCTGGCACTCCCAAGTGCTTGTGCAATGCAACTGGCCACACCTTCAATGAAACAGACAAGACTTGCAATGGTGAGTGGAAGGGTGGTAGTGCTAGAGTGTGGGTTAACCAAATTCTTCCCTAGACCCTAAACCCTAAACCCTACACCATAAACGCTTCTTTTCCTCGAATCACCACTGATTCTCCTGCAGATGCGTGTTATCAAGTGGATTGCGGGGCAAGTGCTTCCTGCTCTGTGGGAGGCAATGGCACTGTCGCGTGCTCGTGCAACGTTGAAGGTTACATCTACAATGCAGCGAACAAGGCATGCAGTGGTGAGTGCTGGAGTGTGTGTGGGTGTGCCGAGACGAAACCTCTTGGGCCGCCTGTCGATGGAGTGTTGTCCTTCGTTATAATACCTTCAGAACTTGTTTGTTCATTCTGACAAGTCACCAGTATGGAAGAGACTGGGTAAAAGAAGGTGAGAAACAAGCCTCTTCTTTGTCTCCCTAAGCCTCCCTTATGGTCCCCCTTACCCCTTCCCTTTTTTTGCCTGGGGTGTTTGTCCCTCTGTGGTAACCACAACAGCCCCGTCTGTGGTCCCCACAACAGCCCCGTGCCCCAAGGATTGTGGAACAGCCATATGCGTTGTGGAGGAGGGCAAGGCCCAGTGCAAGTGCCCCTTGGGCCTCGTGTTCAACGAGGCTGAGAAGACCTGCAGCAATAAGACTGTCAACCCTGGTAGGCCTAGGTTTGATACGTCTCAAAATTAGAACTGTGGAACCTCTGATGTGGAGGAGGGCAAGGCCCAATGCAAGTGCCCCTGGGGCTTCATGTTCAACGAGGCTGAGAAGACCTGCAGCAATGCGTATTATACTGCTGGTGCGTGTCCTTGTCTCTTGCCGCTGCTAGGCATCTTTGTCTGTTGCTGCTGGTGAGTGTCTTCGCCTCTTGCTGCTAGCATTCAGGCTCACGCCAACTCCTTCCCTCCTCCACCCCTGGCAGCGGCAGACCCGTGTAAGACGGGCGCACTGAAGTGCGCCAGGAACTCAATGTGCGTTGTGAAGGGCGGCCAGGGGAGTTGCGAGTGTGACGCCGGCTACACCAAGAGGAGCGGCCTCTGCACTGGTGAGCTGACCTAGAGCTCACTTTCAAAAGCTTGTGACCAAGGGATTTTGTTTCAAAGGCCGATGGCCAAGGGGCTCTGTTTCAAAGGCCGGTAGTCAGGAGCTCAAGAGGTGAAGAGGCAGCGGATACTTCAGAGACAGTGCTGAATGTGATTCAATCTTGAGTACTTGGGGGTTCTGTTGAACCCTCTTGCCACTCACTCACTCTCCTCCCCCCGCTCGCCCTCATTTTCTCCACTGCTACCCCACTCGGCCTCCTGCTCTTCTCCCGCTCCCTTACCCCCAACCTCCCACCCACGCCCCCAACCTCTCGTCCACTCGCCCAACCTCCCACCCACTCCAGCGGTGTGCAAGCGGGCCTGCCCTGTGAATGCCCAGTGCACGGTGGCGAGGGGAAAGCCGGTGTGTCGGTGCAAGACACGTTTCAAAATGGAGAACAAAAAGTGCACACGTAAGTGAGAGGGAGAAATTTCTTTCTGTGCAAACCAGTTTTACCTGTCTCAACATCTCCACCTCCCACATGCACCCATGAAGTACCCGCATGACACATCCGTGCCATCCACTCTCACTGTATGCCCTCCAGCTGCTTCCCGCTCATTCTCCAAACTCTTCCTTCTCTTCCACCCTTCCACCCACCACATGTAACAGCTGTATGCAATTCCGCCTGCCCTGCTAATGCGGAGTGCAAGGTGGTGAAAGGGAATCCGGCATGTCAGTGCAACGCAGGGTTCCGAATGGAGAAGAACAACAAGTGCACACGTAAGAGACCTTAAGAAGCATGGACCTCCACCCCTCACGGCCCCCGCTTTCAAGCTAGCCCCTATTGATGCCTGCCTGCCTGCCTGCCCGCCCGCCCGCCCGCCCGCCCGCCCGCCCGCCTGCCTGCCTGCCTGCCATATTTATGTTATCTAGAGTTGCTGTGTGCCCTCATCTCCATCTTGCTCATTGGTTTACATTCTACTTTGTCCCCATCACATGTGGCAGCCGTATGCAAGAATGGCTGCCCTGCCAATCCGCAGTGCAAGGTGGTGAACGGAAGGGCGGCATGCCGGTTGAAGGCAGGGTTCCAAATGGATTATTACAACAAGTTCACCTGTAAGGGACAGAGGGTGCAAAGGGAGAGGTAGAGGACGAGGGTGAATTATGTGGCATCTTTCGTGCTCTTCCTTTCATATTTTTCTCCGCTGGCTGCTCTAATTATTGGCATGCCACCACTATCACCACACATTCTTATCACCACACCACACCTTCTTATCACCACAAATTCTTATCGCCACACATTCTCATCGCCACACGTTCTTATCGCCACACATTCTTATCGCCACACATTCTTATCAGCACAAATTCTTATCGCCACACATTCTCATCGCCACACGTTCTTATCGCCACACATTCTTATCGCCACACATTCTGATCACCACAAATTCTTATCGCCACACATTCTCATCTCCTTGAGTCATATGCCTCCGCCATCCACATGTTGCTCCCATAGCTGGTCATCCTGGTTCATCTTCCGTTTCATGTCACTTCCTACATTCTGGCCTGCCCTCATGTTCGCCCACTCATTGCAACCCAGAGAGCTGATAATTTTCACTTCAAAGGGGTTGGTGAACAAGAAAGGTACAAGTTGGCAGTGCAAGTGGGACGTCAGGTCGCCAGGGGCTGATGGAGCAGAGGTGCGAGCAAGTGCATGCGGTTGCTGGAGGCCAGGAACCAACCAATTTGGGTGACAAATGGTTAAGTCATTCAGTACAGTGCATGCACTAAGGATGCGATTACACGCTTGATTGGCTTGTTGTACCATAGCGTTTGACTTTAGTTCTTTAGGACGGATTTCTAACTGCTCTTGGATCAGAACTTCATGTGCTACTTGGATTTCTATGCTTTTTGTTTGTGTGCCCTTTTCCCTCAAAACTTTTAACTTGCGCTTGAAGCATTTTGGTACCGTATGAAAAATGACTAGCAGACAAACAAAAAAAGAAAGAGCAACGAAAACAAAGCTAGCAAGGGGAGCGCGCTAGCAATGTGAACATTTATGTGTGTAGATGGTGTTGTTGGTACTCTGAGATGGATGGAGCCCGGTTATTTTAGAGAAGTTTGAAATGTTGGTATTGTGACGGAGTTTTCTAACTAAGCACAGAGCAGCCAAGGCAATGTGGTGGAAAGGGAGAGGAAGGGGGTTGTGGTGGGAACTGTCTGACAATTTTCTGCACCCTGATTTCAAGGGTGTTGTAAGGTACCGGGGTAGGTTTTTTTCCGGGGCAAAACATATATACCCTCTCGGGAAAGGCATGTAAACATGGGATGCATAAACACAATGTGGCAAGGTATTTAGGGTTGATGCGTCCCCTGTTTGCATGCCTTTCCCTAGAGGGTTTACCGTATTATTTTTCGCCCCTTCCAAACTGTTTTGAGAAAACAAAATGACCGTGGGAATTGAGCGCGATCGCAAAGCGATGCGCGGACAAAACCACTGCCCATTGGAATCGAAAATTTGGAAACGCGTCGCCTCGTCATTTCCTCCGGAAAAACGCACGACTGCATCGCTTTGCCAGTTGCACCAGACCAGCCCCCAAACTCACGCTTCCCCATACAAGCACTTTCCGCTGCACACTTTTGGAGGCGCTTTTGTAAGGATGGTCACAATTTCTTCCTACCGACCGACCGTACCGTAGTTATGATGTTTGGTCACTACCTCAGGCGGTCAGAAGAGCGCAAATACATCGCATTTCCCCACAATGAATTGAGATGGCAGCTTCATATTCATTGCTGAGGTGGCAGTCTGAGATCCCAGGTCTCGATGATCTCATCCACATCAAATTGATTCACCACCTGCCATTGCCATGCAAGCATTTCAACAAGAAAGGGAATGCAAATCATTTGAGAAATATATCCCAAATCTCAGCAACTGGAAAAATACACACATTGCACGGAAACATGGAGCGCGGAATTGACAACACAGGTAAGAAGCGTGACAGAAAATTGACCGAGGGGAGATGGAGGGAGGTTCTCAGGCAATGAAAGGAAGGGATACATTATTGCACAGATGAAGCGAAAGAGTAGGCATGAGAGGAAGAGACGTTACCGGGACAAGAGGGTCACCGAGCGAAAGAACTGCTTGTTCGAGAAGCGACTTGGGCTTGTACTGCTTGTGGTAGGGAGGGGAGGAGGGGCAGAAGTGGGGAGGACGACGGGCAGAAGTGGGGAGAACGAGGGGCATGGGTGGGGAGCGGCAAGTGGTTTAGGCTTGTGTTTTTCGTGAAAGAAAGGAGGAGAGGCACGAGAGGGTCCCCCAGTGAAAGGAGTGCTTGCTCGAGAAGCAATTTGGGCTTGTACTGATTGTGGAAGGGAGAGGAATAAGAGGGCTGTGGGAAGAGAGTGCCAAGTGGCTCAGGATATTATCGCTCACTAAAGGAGGGAGGAGAAGTAAGAAAGAAAAGATGGATAGGCAGGCAAAAGGAGTTGGAAGGCAAAAAAGGAAGTGGGCAAGCAAACGAACGACCAGTCCTACTCTCTACATGTTCTGCAGACCTTCACGAAGAGTTGTATGATATATATATACATATATATATATATATCTTTATATTTATATGTAACAATGATTGTTTGTATGAATTGTGGTTTTTGTTACTGTCGTACATTGAGTTTCTCCCTGTAGAAGTACTCATCCACGTCAGCCTGCACCCCCATTCGCTCAAAGAAGGCTCGGATGATGGAGGAGGAGTAGCGCTGGAGGGGGGAGGAGAGGAAAAGGGAGGGGAGGAGTCAAAGGAAGAGGGGGGGTTGGAAGAATGAGTCAGACTGGGAAGGGAGTTTTGCCCGTACATCATCCTGCATCCCCATTCGCTCAAAGAAGGCTCGGATGATGGAGGAGGAGCGGCGCTGGGGGGGAGGAGAGAGGGAAGGGAAGAACGATTTGGTACAAGGGATTCGAATTGGAATGGATGGAAGCTGCAGATGCCATACTTCAAATGACAGATGGGAAATAGTTCTGGTAGGGGCGGAATTACAAGAAGGGTCTTGAAAAAATTCCCCAGTCACACCACCCCACGCACCTGACATAGTCACACCACCCCACGCACGTGATATAGTCACACCACCCCATGACTCACCTGAGCATAGTTACTCTCTGCAAGCAACAGCACTGCTCCATCCAGATTGGCCGGTCCCTGAGAGTGAGTGAGGGAGCGAGTGTCGGAATGAGTGAGAAAGTGAGTGAGGGCGAATCTAGTGATAGTGAAAAGAAGGAGAGGAAGGGAGCATGATCGAGGGGAAAAATACTCATCGTATTCCCTCCCTCAAATTTCACTGTTAACTCCTTCAATGAAAATAACTTTTTTTTTTTACAAGAGACAGGCCACAAGGGGACAGACACAAGGAACAAGACGCAACCGCGGTGCTTATCTACTCCTCCTACCCCAACCTCTTTTGAGGCGACTCAAATGTCAAGGGGACAGACACAAGGAACAAGACGCAACCGCGGTGCTTATCTACTCGTTCCCTCAACCTCTCCTGCCCCTTCTCTCCTGCTTCGCCTGCTGCTTCCCCCCACCTTTGCTGCCCCATATTTTCTGAACCCGGGAAACTACCCTAGTTAATATTTCAGCCAGAAGGAGGAGCGATAAGTGAGTGCGCAACTCACCTGGACATCAGTGGGGTGATAAGCGACTGTACAGCTCAGCTCACCTGCACCTGGGGGGAGCGATAAGCGAGTGCACAGCTCACCTGCACCTTCACTTGCATGCTGCCTCGGCGATCCTTATCCCACTCTGCCCCACCACCGCCTGCTGCTGCCACCCAGTCCACAGTGTAGGCCTGTGTGGCAGACAGTGAATGCGAAGCAGAGATGGGATGAGGACAGCAAAAGCATAGAGAGAGTGGTGCGAGTCACATGACTCACACACCACCGCCTGCTGCTGCCACCCACTCGACAGTGTAGGAAGGAAAGGAACCCCACATCCAGCAGGCAGTGAAGAACCTCTTCCACCCCAGCCAGCATTTCTGAGGCGCCTCAAAAGTCGCCTCAAAAGGCGCCTCAAAACTCGACAGTGTAGGAAGGAAAGGAACCCCACATCCAGCAGGCAGTGAAGAACCTCTTCCACCCCAGCCAGCAGCCCTGCCTGCCGCCTGCACCTATTTTCTGCACATATCCTCCCCCCACCCCGCTCACCATCAACCCTAACCCCTGACCCCCCAACCCCTGACCCCCCAACCCCTGACCCCCCAACCCCTGACCCCTTTCACCCACCCACCCGCAGGAAGCCCACATCCAGCAGACGTTGCAGAATCTCCTCCAACCCAGCCACCAGCCACCAGCCACGAGCCACGAGCCACCAGCCACGTGCAACGAGCCACGAGCCCAGCACCACCTACCACCCACCAGATGCCACAGCCCTCTCACCCACCCACCTGCACTGCAGGAAGCCCACGTCCAGCAGTCGCTGCAGGATCTCCTCCAACCCAGCCACCAGCCCTCCCCACTCATTGTCTCCTCTCATGACCCTACAGCACTCACCTCCCACCATCAATCCCCCAACCCCTGACCCCTTCCACCCACCCACCTGCAGAAACCCCACACCCAGCAGGCGTTGCAAGATCTCCTCCACCCCAGCCACCAGCCCTCCCTGCTGGCCGCACCTCTCCTTCCCACCCGTTCCTCTGTTCACACGGGCCCGAAACGACCACCTGCAACCAACAACGCCAGACATCTGGCTGTGTTTCAACCATCCACCCACCTGCAGGAACCCCACGTCCAGCAGGCGTTGCAAAATCTCCTCCACCCCAGCCACCAGCCCTGCTGGCCGCACCTCCCCCCCTCCGGCTGCTGCTGGTGGTGGTGGTGGTGGGAGGGATTGCTTTGACAGCAGCGACGGCGGGTCCAGCCAATCCTGGTCGTCCACCTGTTCGGCTGATGATGATGCTGGCGGTGCTGACGTGGCGATGCGGGCGAATGGTAGGGAGGTGGCGGGGGAGAGGGGGGAGAACGTGGAGGAGGATGGCGAGGGGGAAGCGGAGGAGGAAGAGGAGGAGGAGAGGGAGGATGGGGGGAGTGCAAGAGCGATAGTGACTGCTTCTGGTGCCACTCGGTCTAGAAGCTTCCTCCCCAGGCGGGCACTGATCTCCTGCGAGGGAAACCCAGGGTAAAGGGGGTGAAGAAGAGGCCAAAGAAATCAGGGAGGGCAGAAACAGGGGAAGTGCTTCTGGTGCCACTCGATCGAGCAGCTTCCTCCCGAGGCGGGTGCTGATCTCCTGCGAGAGACGTAGGGGGGACAGGGGGGCAGGGGGCAGGAGGTTTACGAGAGATGGGATGGCTGAAACCGGGAACTGCTTCTGGCGCCACTCGGTCCAGCAGCTTTCTCCCCAGGCGGGAACTGATCGCCTGCGAGAGACAAATGGGGGGCGAGGGGGGAGAGGAGCCTTAAGAAAGCAGGGAGGGCGGCGATTATGGCCGATGGGTATTGACGGCTGGAGACAGGGAAGTGCTTCTGGTGCCACTCCATCCAGCAGCTCACTCCCCAGGCAAGTGCTGATCTCCTGCAAGATTTACAAGGGGGGGCGGGGGGACGAAGAGGCTTAAGAAAGAAAACGGTCTAGAAGCTTCCTCCCCAGACGGGCACTGATCTACTGCGAGAGACATAGGGGGGAAGGAGAGGAAGAAAAGGTGTAAGAAAGAAGGGATGGAGCAAACAGGGGACGTGCTTCTGGTGCCACTCGGTCCAGCAGTTTCCTTCCCAAGCGGGCGCTGATCTCCTGAGAGAGACGTAGGGGGGAAGTGGTAGGAAAAGGCGTAAGTAAGTGCCAATTTTCAGAAATGGCGCGAGGCGTACACAGAAACAGAAGCAAGTGCTTCTTGTGCCAATCGCTTGATCCATCCAGCGGCTGACATGACATCCGTGGATGGACCACGGATCTTATGTTAATGTGCTTGAAAACGAGAGATGAAGAGAGTGTGAGGCGACTTTCGTGTCTACTCAAAAGTCACGTTGTTACAATGGCACGTGGGCCACTCACCTGCCTGACTCGCTGTGTGGGGAACAGGCGGGCGATCAGCTTCCACTGGAGAGGAAGAGATGAATTTGGGGGGGGAGGACGTGAGGGGAGGGGGGAAGAAGGGAGGGGAGGGGGGAAGTAGGGAAGAGAGGGGGGAGCAAGAGAGAGTAAGCGTGGGGAACAGGCTGGCAATGAGCTCCCACTGGCGGGGCAGAGACGAATGGGGGGGAACAGAGGGAAGGGGGAGGGACGACAAGGAGAGAGTAAGGGTGGAGATAGTGGGGAGAGGGGAGGTGGGCGGGGGAAAGACAGGGAGACGAGGCGAGGCGAGGGGGAACGAGTGAGTGAGAGAAGGGAAAACAGGCACGTGACGTGGGGCAGCAGCATGGGCAGGGAGAGACTGCTGCTGCAGTGCCTTTTGAGTCGACTCAAAAAGTGACGTGGGGCAGCAGCACCGGCAGGGTGAGAGGGACTGTTACAGCAGCGTGCGGATGAGTGAGTTTTGTTGAGACGTCTCAAAAACTCGCTCATTTCAAGCAGTTGGGGCAGGGTGAGAGGGACTGTTGCAGCAGCGTGCGGATGTGTCAAGAACACAGCACACCATGCTCACCTGGGCTGGTTGTGCCACCAGCACAGCACCCCATGCTCACCTGGGCTGGTTGTGCCACCAGCACAGCACCCCATGCTCACCTGGGCTGGTTGTGCCACCAGCACAGCACACCATGCTCACCTGGGCTGGTTGTGCCACCAGCACAGCACACCATGCTCACCTGGGCTGGTTGTGCCACCAGCACAGCACACCATGCTCACCTGGGCTGGTTGTGCCACCAGCACAGCACACCATGCTCACCTGGGCTGGTTGTGCCACCAGCACAGCACACCATGCTCACCTGGGCTGGTTGTGCCACCAGCACAGCACACCATGCTCACCTGGGCTGGTTGTGCCACCAGCACAGCACCCCATGCTCACCTGGGCTGGTTGTGCCACCAGCACAGCACACCATGCTCACCTGGGCTGGTTGTGCCACCAGCACAGCACACCATGCTCACCTGGGCTGGTTGTGCCACCAGCACAGCACACCATGCTCACCTGGGCTGGTTGTGCCACCAGCACAGCACACCATGCTCACCTGGGCTGGTTGTGCCACCAGCACAGCACACCATGCTCACCTGGGCTGGTTGTGCCACCAGCACAGCACACCATGCTCACCTGGGCTGGTTGTGCCACCAGCACAGCACACCATGCTCACCTGGGCTGGTTGTGCCACCAGCACAGCACACCATGCTCACCTGGGCTGGTTGTGCCACCAGCACAGCACACAATGCTCACCTGGGCTGGTTGTGCCACCAGCACAGCACACCATGCTCACCTGGGCTGGTTGTGCCACCAGCACAGCACACCATGCTCACCTGGGCTGGTTGTGCCACCAGCACAGCACACCATGCTCACCTGGGCTGGTTGTGCCACCAGCACAGCACCCCATGCTCACCTGGGCTGGTTGTGCCACCAGCACAGCACACCATGCTCACCTGGGCTGGTTGTGCCACCAGCACAGCACACCATGCTCACCTGGGCTGGTTGTGCCACCAGCACAGCACACCATGCTCACCTGGGCTGGTTGTGCCACCAGCACAGCACACCATGCTCACCTGGGCTGGTTGTGCCACCAGCACAGCACACCATGCTCACCTGGGCTGGTTGTGCCACCAGCACAGCACACCATGCTCACCTGGGCTGGTTGTGCCACCAGCACAGCACACCATGCTCACCTGGGCTGGTTGTGCCACCAGCACAGCACACCATGCTCACCTGGGCTGGTTGTGCCACCAGCACAGCACACCATGCTCACCTGGGCTGGTTGTGCCACCAGCACAGCACACCATGCTCACCTGGGCTGGTTGTGCCACCAGCACAGCACACCATGCTCACCTGGGCTGGTTGTGCCACCAGCACAGCACCCCATGCTCACCTGGGCTGGTTGTGCCACCAGCACAGCACCCCATGCTCACCTGGGCTGGTTGTGCCACCAGCACAGCACACCATGCTCACCTGGGCTGGTTGTGCCACCAGCACAGCACACCATGCTCACCTGGGCTGGTTGTGCCACCAGCACAGCACCCCATGCTCACCTGGGCTGGTTGTGCCACCAGCACAGCACCCCATGCTCACCTGGGCTGGTTGTGCCACCAGCACAGCACACCATGCTCACCTGGGCTGGTTGTGCCACCAGCACAGCACACCATGCTCACCTGGGCTGGTTGTGCCACCAGCACAGCACACCATGCTCACCTGGGCTGGTTGTGCCACCAGCACAGCACACCATGCTCACCTGGGCTGGTTGTGCCACCAGCACAGCACACCATGCTCACCTGGGCTGGTTGTGCCACCAGCACAGCACACCATGCTCACCTGGGCTGGTTGTGCCACCAGCACAGCACACCATGCTCACCTGGGCTGGTTGTGCCACCAGCACAGCACACCATGCTCACCTGGGCTGGTTGTGCCACCAGCACAGCACACCATGCTCACCTGGGCTGGTTGTGCCACCAGCACAGCACCCCATGCTCACCTGGGCTGGTTGTGCCACCAGCACAGCACACCATGCTCACCTGGGCTGGTTGTGCCACCAGCACAGCACCCCATGCTCACCTGGGCTGGTTGTGCCACCAGCACAGCACCCCATGCTCACCTGGGCTGGTTGTGCCACCAGCACAGCACCCCATGCTCACCTGGGCTGGTTGTGCCACCAGCACAGCACACCATGCTCACCTGGGCTGGTTGTGCCACCAGCACAGCACACCATGCTCACCTGGGCTGGTTGTGCCACCAGCACAGCACACCATGCTCACCTGGGCTGGTTGTGCCACCAGCACAGCACACCATGCTCACCTGGGCTGGTTGTGCCACCAGCACAGCACCCCATGCTCACCTGGGCTGGTTGTGCCACCAGCACAGCACCCCATGCTCACCTGGGCTGGTTGTGCCACCAGCACAGCACACCATGCTCACCTGGGCTGGTTGTGCCACCAGCACAGCACACCATGCTCACCTGGGCTGGTTGTGCCACCAGCACAGCACACCATGCTCACCTGGGCTGGTTGTGCCACCAGCACAGCACACCATGCTCACCTGGGCTGGTTGTGCCACCAGCACAGCACACCATGCTCACCTGGGCTGGTTGTGCCACCAGCACAGCACCCCATGCTCACCTGGGCTGGTTGTGCCACCAGCACAGCACCCCATGCTCACCTGGGCTGGTTGTGCCACCAGCACAGCACACAATGCTCACCTGGGCTGGTTGTGCCACCAGCACAGCACACCATGCTCACCTGGGCTGGTTGTGCCACCAGCACAGCACACCATGCTCACCTGGGCTGGTTGTGCCACCAGCACAGCACACCATGCTCACCTGGGCTGGTTGTGCCACCAGCACAGCACCCCATGCTCACCTGGGCTGGTTGTGCCACCAGCACAGCACACCATGCTCACCTGGGCTGGTTGTGCCACCAGCACAGCACACCATGCTCACCTGGGCTGGTTGTGCCACCAGCACAGCACACCATGCTCACCTGGGCTGGTTGTGCCACCAGCACAGCACACCATGCTCACCTGGGCTGGTTGTGCCACCAGCACAGCACACCATGCTCACCTGGGCTGGTTGTGCCACCAGCACAGCACACCATGCTCACCTGGGCTGGTTGTGCCACCAGCACAGCACACCATGCTCACCTGGGCTGGTTGTGCCACCAGCACAGCACACCATGCTCACCTGGGCTGGTTGTGCCACCAGCACAGCACACCATGCTCACCTGGGCTGGTTGTGCCACCAGCACAGCACACCATGCTCACCTGGGCTGGTTGTGCCACCAGCACAGCACCCCATGCTCACCTGGGCTGGTTGTGCCACCAGCACAGCACCCCATGCTCACCTGGGCTGGTTGTGCCACCAGCACAGCACACCATGCTCACCTGGGCTGGTTGTGCCACCAGCACAGCACACCATGCTCACCTGGGCTGGTTGTGCCACCAGCACAGCACCCCATGCTCACCTGGGCTGGTTGTGCCACCAGCACAGCACACCATGCTCACCTGGGCTGGTTGTGCCACCAGCACAGCACACCATGCTCACCTGGGCTGGTTGTGCCACCAGCACAGCACACCATGCTCACCTGGGCTGGTTGTGCCACCAGCACAGCACACCATGCTCACCTGGGCTGGTTGTGCCACCAGCACAGCACACCATGCTCACCTGGGCTGGTTGTGCCACCAGCACAGCACACCATGCTCACCTGGGCTGGTTGTGCCACCAGCACAGCACCCCATGCTCACCTGGGCTGGTTGTGCCACCAGCACAGCACACCATGCTCACCTGGGCTGGTTGTGCCACCAGCACAGCACCCCATGCTCACCTGGGCTGGTTGTGCCACCAGCACAGCACCCCATGCTCACCTGGGCTGGTTGTGCCACCAGCACAGCACACCATGCTCACCTGGGCTGGTTGTGCCACCAGCACAGCACCCCATGCTCACCTGGGCTGGTTGTGCCACCAGCACAGCACACCATGCTCACCTGGGCTGGTTGTGCCACCAGCACAGCACCCCATGCTCACCTGGGCTGGTTGTGCCACCAGCACAGCACCCCATGCTCACCTGGGCTGGTTGTGCCACCAGCACAGCACCCCATGCTCACCTGGGCTGGTTGTGCCACCAGCACAGCACCCCATGCTCACCTGGGCTGGTTGTGCCACCAGCACAGCACACCATGCTCACCTGGGCTGGTTGTGCCACCAGCACAGCACACCATGCTCACCTGGGCTGGTTGTGCCACCAGCACAGCACACCATGCTCACCTGGGCTGGTTGTGCCACCAGCACAGCACACCATGCTCACCTGGGCTGGTTGTGCCACCAGCACAGCACCCCATGCTCACCTGGGCTGGTTGTGCCACCAGCACAGCACCCCATGCTCACCTGGGCTGGTTGTGCCACCAGCACAGCACACCATGCTCACCTGGGCTGGTTGTGCCACCAGCACAGCACACCATGCTCACCTGGGCTGGTTGTGCCACCAGCACAGCACACCATGCTCACCTGGGCTGGTTGTGCCACCAGCACAGCACACCATGCTCACCTGGGCTGGTTGTGCCACCAGCACAGCACACCATGCTCACCTGGGCTGGTTGTGCCACCAGCACAGCACACCATGCTCACCTGGGCTGGTTGTGCCACCAGCACAGCACCCCATGCTCACCTGGGCTGGTTGTGCCACCAGCACAGCACCCCATGCTCACCTGGGCTGGTTGTGCCACCAGCACAGCACCCCATGCTCACCTGGGCTGGTTGTGCCACCAGCACAGCACACCATGCTCACCTGGGCTGGTTGTGCCACCAGCACAGCACACCATGCTCACCTGGGCTGGTTGTGCCACCAGCACAGCACACCATGCTCACCTGGGCTGGTTGTGCCACCAGCACAGCACACCATGCTCACCTGGGCTGGTTGTGCCACCAGCACAGCACACCATGCTCACCTGGGCTGGTTGTGCCACCAGCACAGCACACCATGCTCACCTGGGCTGGTTGTGCCACCAGCACAGCACACCATGCTCACCTGGGCTGGTTGTGCCACCAGCACAGCACACCATGCTCACCTGGGCTGGTTGTGCCACCAGCACAGCACACCATGCTCACCTGGGCTGGTTGTGCCACCAGCACAGCACCCCATGCTCACCTGGGCTGGTTGTGCCACCAGCACAGCACCCCATGCTCACCTGGGCTGGTTGTGCCACCAGCACAGCACACCATGCTCACCTGGGCTGGTTGTGCCACCAGCACAGCACACCATGCTCACCTGGGCTGGTTGTGCCACCAGCACAGCACCCCATGCTCACCTGGGCTGGTTGTGCCACCAGCACAGCACACCATGCTCACCTGGGCTGGTTGTGCCACCAGCACAGCACACCATGCTCACCTGGGCTGGTTGTGCCACCAGCACAGCACACCATGCTCACCTGGGCTGGTTGTGCCACCAGCACAGCACACCATGCTCACCTGGGCTGGTTGTGCCACCAGCACAGCACACCATGCTCACCTGGGCTGGTTGTGCCACCAGCACAGCACCCCATGCTCACCTGGGCTGGTTGTGCCACCAGCACAGCACCCCATGCTCACCTGGGCTGGTTGTGCCACCAGCACAGCACACCATGCTCACCTGGGCTGGTTGTGCCACCAGCACAGCACACCATGCTCACCTGGGCTGGTTGTGCCACCAGCACAGCACCCCATGCTCACCTGGGCTGGTTGTGCCACCAGCACAGCACCCCATGCTCACCTGGGCTGGTTGTGCCACCAGCACAGCACACAATGCTCACCTGGGCTGGTTGTGCCACCAGCACAGCACACCATGCTCACCTGGGCTGGTTGTGCCACCAGCACAGCACACCATGCTCACCTGGGCTGGTTGTGCCACCAGCACAGCACACCATGCTCACCTGGGCTGGTTGTGCCACCAGCACAGCACCCCATGCTCACCTGGGCTGGTTGTGCCACCAGCACAGCACACCATGCTCACCTGGGCTGGTTGTGCCACCAGCACAGCACACCATGCTCACCTGGGCTGGTTGTGCCACCAGCACAGCACACCATGCTCACCTGGGCTGGTTGTGCCACCAGCACAGCACACCATGCTCACCTGGGCTGGTTGTGCCACCAGCACAGCACACCATGCTCACCTGGGCTGGTTGTGCCACCAGCACAGCACACCATGCTCACCTGGGCTGGTTGTGCCACCAGCACAGCACACCATGCTCACCTGGGCTGGTTGTGCCACCAGCACAGCACACCATGCTCACCTGGGCTGGTTGTGCCACCAGCACAGCACACCATGCTCACCTGGGCTGGTTGTGCCACCAGCACAGCACACCATGCTCACCTGGGCTGGTTGTGCCACCAGCACAGCACCCCATGCTCACCTGGGCTGGTTGTGCCACCAGCACAGCACCCCATGCTCACCTGGGCTGGTTGTGCCACCAGCACAGCACACCATGCTCACCTGGGCTGGTTGTGCCACCAGCACAGCACACCATGCTCACCTGGGCTGGTTGTGCCACCAGCACAGCACCCCATGCTCACCTGGGCTGGTTGTGCCACCAGCACAGCACACCATGCTCACCTGGGCTGGTTGTGCCACCAGCACAGCACACCATGCTCACCTGGGCTGGTTGTGCCACCAGCACAGCACACCATGCTCACCTGGGCTGGTTGTGCCACCAGCACAGCACACCATGCTCACCTGGGCTGGTTGTGCCACCAGCACAGCACACCATGCTCACCTGGGCTGGTTGTGCCACCAGCACAGCACACCATGCTCACCTGGGCTGGTTGTGCCACCAGCACAGCACCCCATGCTCACCTGGGCTGGTTGTGCCACCAGCACAGCACACCATGCTCACCTGGGCTGGTTGTGCCACCAGCACAGCACCCCATGCTCACCTGGGCTGGTTGTGCCACCAGCACAGCACCCCATGCTCACCTGGGCTGGTTGTGCCACCAGCACAGCACACCATGCTCACCTGGGCTGGTTGTGCCACCAGCACAGCACCCCATGCTCACCTGGGCTGGTTGTGCCACCAGCACAGCACACCATGCTCACCTGGGCTGGTTGTGCCACCAGCACAGCACCCCATGCTCACCTGGGCTGGTTGTGCCACCAGCACAGCACCCCATGCTCACCTGGGCTGGTTGTGCCACCAGCACAGCACCCCATGCTCACCTGGGCTGGTTGTGCCACCAGCACAGCACCCCATGCTCACCTGGGCTGGTTGTGCCACCAGCACAGCACACCATGCTCACCTGGGCTGGTTGTGCCACCAGCACAGCACACCATGCTCACCTGGGCTGGTTGTGCCACCAGCACAGCACACCATGCTCACCTGGGCTGGTTGTGCCACCAGCACAGCACACCATGCTCACCTGGGCTGGTTGTGCCACCAGCACAGCACCCCATGCTCACCTGGGCTGGTTGTGCCACCAGCACAGCACCCCATGCTCACCTGGGCTGGTTGTGCCACCAGCACAGCACACCATGCTCACCTGGGCTGGTTGTGCCACCAGCACAGCACACCATGCTCACCTGGGCTGGTTGTGCCACCAGCACAGCACACCATGCTCACCTGGGCTGGTTGTGCCACCAGCACAGCACACCATGCTCACCTGGGCTGGTTGTGCCACCAGCACAGCACACCATGCTCACCTGGGCTGGTTGTGCCACCAGCACAGCACACCATGCTCACCTGGGCTGGTTGTGCCACCAGCACAGCACACCATGCTCACCTGGGCTGGTTGTGCCACCAGCACAGCACACCATGCTCACCTGGGCTGGTTGTGCCACCAGCACAGCACACCATGCTCACCTGGGCTGGTTGTGCCACCAGCACAGCACACCATGCTCACCTGGGCTGGTTGTGCCACCAGCACAGCACCCCATGCTCACCTGGGCTGGTTGTGCCACCAGCACAGCACACCATGCTCACCTGGGCTGGTTGTGCCACCAGCACAGCACCCCATGCTCACCTGGGCTGGTTGTGCCACCAGCACAGCACCCCATGCTCACCTGGGCTGGTTGTGCCACCAGCACAGCACCCCATGCTCACCTGGGCTGGTTGTGCCACCAGCACAGCACACCATGCTCACCTGGGCTGGTTGTGCCACCAGCACAGCACCCCATGCTCACCTGGGCTGGTTGTGCCACCAGCACAGCACACCATGCTCACCTGGGCTGGTTGTGCCACCAGCACAGCACACCATGCTCACCTGGGCTGGTTGTGCCACCAGCACAGCACACCATGCTCACCTGGGCTGGTTGTGCCACCAGCACAGCACACCATGCTCACCTGGGCTGGTTGTGCCACCAGCACAGCACACCATGCTCACCTGGGCTGGTTGTGCCACCAGCACAGCACACCATGCTCACCTGGGCTGGTTGTGCCACCAGCACAGCACACCATGCTCACCTGGGCTGGTTGTGCCACCAGCACAGCACACCATGCTCACCTGGGCTGGTTGTGCCACCAGCACAGCACACCATGCTCACCTGGGCTGGTTGTGCCACCAGCACAGCACACCATGCTCACCTGGGCTGGTTGTGCCACCAGCACAGCACACCATGCTCACCTGGGCTGGTTGTGCCACCAGCACAGCACACCATGCTCACCTGGGCTGGTTGTGCCACCAGCACAGCACACCATGCTCACCTGGGCTGGTTGTGCCACCAGCACAGCACACCATGCTCACCTGGGCTGGTTGTGCCACCAGCACAGCACACCATGCTCACCTGGGCTGGTTGTGCCACCAGCACAGCACCCCATGCTCACCTGGGCTGGTTGTGCCACCAGCACAGCACCCCATGCTCACCTGGGCTGGTTGTGCCACCAGCACAGCACACCATGCTCACCTGGGCTGGTTGTGCCACCAGCACAGCACACCATGCTCACCTGGGCTGGTTGTGCCACCAGCACAGCACCCCATGCTCACCTGGGCTGGTTGTGCCACCAGCACAGCACCCCATGCTCACCTGGGCTGGTTGTGCCACCAGCACAGCACACCATGCTCACCTGGGCTGGTTGTGCCACCAGCACAGCACACCATGCTCACCTGGGCTGGTTGTGCCACCAGCACAGCACACCATGCTCACCTGGGCTGGTTGTGCCACCAGCACAGCACACCATGCTCACCTGGGCTGGTTGTGCCACCAGCACAGCACACAATGCTCACCTGGGCTGGTTGTGCCACCAGCACAGCACACCATGCTCACCTGGGCTGGTTGTGCCACCAGCACAGCACACCATGCTCACCTGGGCTGGTTGTGCCACCAGCACAGCACACCATGCTCACCTGGGCTGGTTGTGCCACCAGCACAGCACACCATGCTCACCTGGGCTGGTTGTGCCACCAGCACAGCACACCATGCTCACCTGGGCTGGTTGTGCCACCAGCACAGCACACCATGCTCACCTGGGCTGGTTGTGCCACCAGCACAGCACACCATGCTCACCTGGGCTGGTTGTGCCACCAGCACAGCACACCATGCTCACCTGGGCTGGTTGTGCCACCAGCACAGCACACCATGCTCACCTGGGCTGGTTGTGCCACCAGCACAGCACACCATGCTCACCTGGGCTGGTTGTGCCACCAGCACAGCACACCATGCTCACCTGGGCTGGTTGTGCCACCAGCACAGCACACCATGCTCACCTGGGCTGGTTGTGCCACCAGCACAGCACACCATGCTCACCTGGGCTGGTTGTGCCACCAGCACAGCACCCCATGCTCACCTGGGCTGGTTGTGCCACCAGCACAGCACCCCATGCTCACCTGGGCTGGTTGTGCCACCAGCACAGCACCCCATGCTCACCTGGGCTGGTTGTGCCACCAGCACAGCACCCCATGCTCACCAGGGCTGGTTGTGCCACCAGCACAGCACACCATGCTCACCTGGGCTGGTTGTGCCACCAGCACAGCACACCATGCTCACCTGGGCTGGTTGTGCCACCAGCACAGCACACAATGCTCACCTGGGCTGGTTGTGCCACCAGCACAGCACACCATGCTCACCTGGGCTGGTTGTGCCACCAGCACAGCACACCATGCTCACCTGGGCTGGTTGTGCCACCAGCACAGCACCCCATGCTCACCTGGGCTGGTTGTGCCACCAGCACAGCACCCCATGCTCACCTGGGCTGGTTGTGCCACCAGCACAGCACACCATGCTCACCTGGGCTGGTTGTGCCACCAGCACAGCACCCCATGCTCACCTGGGCTGGTTGTGCCACCAGCACAGCACCCCATGCTCACCTGGGCTGGTTGTGCCACCAGCACAGCACACCATGCTCACCTGGGCTGGTTGTGCCACCAGCACAGCACCCCATGCTCACCTGGGCTGGTTGTGCCACCAGCACAGCACACCATGCTCACCTGGGCTGGTTGTGCCACCAGCACAGCACACCATGCTCACCTGGGCTGGTTGTGCCACCAGCACAGCACACAATGCTCACCTGGGCTGGTTGTGCCACCAGCACAGCACACCATGCTCACCTGGGCTGGTTGTGCCACCAGCACAGCACCCCATGCTCACCTGGGCTGGTTGTGCCACCAGCACAGCACACCATGCTCACCTGGGCTGGTTGTGCCACCAGCACAGCACCCCATGCTCACCTGGGCTGGTTGTGCCACCAGCACAGCACACCATGCTCACCTGGGCTGGTTGTGCCACCAGCACAGCACCCCATGCTCACCTGGGCTGGTTGTGCCACCAGCACAGCACACCATGCTCACCTGGGCTGGTTGTGCCACCAGCACAGCACCCCATGCTCACCTGGGCTGGTTGTGCCACCAGCACAGCACACCATGCTCACCTGGGCTGGTTGTGCCACCAGCACAGCACACCATGCTCACCTGGGCTGGTTGTGCCACCAGCACAGCACACAATGCTCACCTGGGCTGGTTGTGCCACCAGCACAGCACACCATGCTCACCTGGGCTGGTTGTGCCACCAGCACAGCACCCCATGCTCACCTGGGCTGGTTGTGCCACCAGCACAGCACACCATGCTCACCTGGGCTGGTTGTGCCACCAGCACAGCACACCATGCTCACCTGGGCTGGTTGTGCCACCAGCACAGCACACCATGCTCACCTGGGCTGGTTGTGCCACCAGCACAGCACACCATGCTCACCTGGGCTGGTTGTGCCACCAGCACAGCACACCATGCTCACCTGGGCTGGTTGTGCCACCAGCACAGCACACCATGCTCACCTGGGCTGGTTGTGCCACCAGCACAGCACACCATGCTCACCTGGGCTGGTTGTGCCACCAGCACAGCACACCATGCTCACCTGGGCTGGTTGTGCCACCAGCACAGCACCCCATGCTCACCTGGGCTGGTTGTGCCACCAGCACAGCACACCATGCTCACCTGGGCTGGTTGTGCCACCAGCACAGCACCCCATGCTCACCTGGGCTGGTTGTGCCACCAGCACAGCACCCCATGCTCACCTGGGCTGGTTGTGCCACCAGCACAGCACACCATGCTCACCTGGGCTGGTTGTGCCACCAGCACAGCACCCCATGCTCACCTGGGCTGGTTGTGCCACCAGCACAGCACACCATGCTCACCTGGGCTGGTTGTGCCACCAGCACAGCACACCATGCTCACCTGGGCTGGTTGTGCCACCAGCACAGCACACAATGCTCACCTGGGCTGGTTGTGCCACCAGCACAGCACACCATGCTCACCTGGGCTGGTTGTGCCACCAGCACAGCACCCCATGCTCACCTGGGCTGGTTGTGCCACCAGCACAGCACACCATGCTCACCTGGGCTGGTTGTGCCACCAGCACAGCACACCATGCTCACCTGGGCTGGTTGTGCCACCAGCACAGCACACCATGCTCACCTGGGCTGGTTGTGCCACCAGCACAGCACACCATGCTCACCTGGGCTGGTTGTGCCACCAGCACAGCACACCATGCTCACCTGGGCTGGTTGTGCCACCAGCACAGCACACCATGCTCACCTGGGCTGGTTGTGCCACCAGCACAGCACACCATGCTCACCTGGGCTGGTTGTGCCACCAGCACAGCACACCATGCTCACCTGGGCTGGTTGTGCCACCAGCACAGCACACCATGCTCACCTGGGCTGGTTGTGCCACCAGCACAGCACACCATGCTCACCTGGGCTGGTTGTGCCACCAGCACAGCACACCATGCTCACCTGGGCTGGTTGTGCCACCAGCACAGCACCCCATGCTCACCTGGGCTGGTTGTGCCACCAGCACAGCACCCCATGCTCACCTGGGCTGGTTGTGCCACCAGCACAGCACCCCATGCTCACCTGGGCTGGTTGTGCCACCAGCACAGCACCCCATGCTCACCAGGGCTGGTTGTGCCACCAGCACAGCACACCATGCTCACCTGGGCTGGTTGTGCCACCAGCACAGCACACCATGCTCACCTGGGCTGGTTGTGCCACCAGCACAGCACACAATGCTCACCTGGGCTGGTTGTGCCACCAGCACAGCACACCATGCTCACCTGGGCTGGTTGTGCCACCAGCACAGCACACCATGCTCACCTGGGCTGGTTGTGCCACCAGCACAGCACACCATGCTCACCTGGGCTGGTTGTGCCACCAGCACAGCACCCCATGCTCACCTGGGCTGGTTGTGCCACCAGCACAGCACACCATGCTCACCTGGGCTGGTTGTGCCACCAGCACAGCACACCATGCTCACCTGGGCTGGTTGTGCCACCAGCACAGCACACCATGCTCACCTGGGCTGGTTGTGCCACCAGCACAGCACACCATGCTCACCTGGGCTGGTTGTGCCACCAGCACAGCACACCATGCTCACCTGGGCTGGTTGTGCCACCAGCACAGCACACCATGCTCACCTGGGCTGGTTGTGCCACCAGCACAGCACACCATGCTCACCTGGGCTGGTTGTGCCACCAGCACAGCACCCCATGCTCACCTGGGCTGGTTGTGCCACCAGCACAGCACACCATGCTCACCTGGGCTGGTTGTGCCACCAGCACAGCACCCCATGCTCACCTGGGCTGGTTGTGCCACCAGCACAGCACCCCATGCTCACCTGGGCTGGTTGTGCCACCAGCACAGCACACCATGCTCACCTGGGCTGGTTGTGCCACCAGCACAGCACCCCATGCTCACCTGGGCTGGTTGTGCCACCAGCACAGCACACCATGCTCACCTGGGCTGGTTGTGCCACCAGCACAGCACACCATGCTCACCTGGGCTGGTTGTGCCACCAGCACAGCACACCATGCTCACCTGGGCTGGTTGTGCCACCAGCACAGCACACCATGCTCACCTGGGCTGGTTGTGCCACCAGCACAGCACCCCATGCTCACCTGGGCTGGTTGTGCCACCAGCACAGCACACCATGCTCACCTGGGCTGGTTGTGCCACCAGCACAGCACCCCATGCTCACCTGGGCTGGTTGTGCCACCAGCACAGCACCCCATGCTCACCTGGGCTGGTTGTGCCACCAGCACAGCACCCCATGCTCACCTGGGCTGGTTGTGCCACCAGCACAGCACACCATGCTCACCTGGGCTGGTTGTGCCACCAGCACAGCACCCCATGCTCACCTGGGCTGGTTGTGCCACCAGCACAGCACCCCATGCTCACCTGGGCTGGTTGTGCCACCAGCACAGCACCCCATGCTCACCTGGGCTGGTTGTGCCACCAGCACAGCACCCCATGCTCACCTGGGCTGGTTGTGCCACCAGCACAGCACACCATGCTCACCTGGGCTGGTTGTGCCACCAGCACAGCACCCCATGCTCACCTGGGCTGGTTGTGCCACCAGCACAGCACACCATGCTCACCTGGGCTGGTTGTGCCACCAGCACAGCACCCCATGCTCACCTGGGCTGGTTGTGCCACCAGCACAGCACACCATGCTCACCTGGGCTGGTTGTGCCACCAGCACAGCACACCATGCTCACCTGGGCTGGTTGTGCCACCAGCACAGCACCCCATGCTCACCTGGGCTGGTTGTGCCACCAGCACAGCACACCATGCTCACCTGGGCTGGTTGTGCCACCAGCACAGCACACCATGCTCACCTGGGCTGGTTGTGCCACCAGCACAGCACACAATGCTCACCTGGGCTGGTTGTGCCACCAGCACAGCACACCATGCTCACCTGGGCTGGTTGTGCCACCAGCACAGCACCCCATGCTCACCTGGGCTGGTTGTGCCACCAGCACAGCACACCATGCTCACCTGGGCTGGTTGTGCCACCAGCACAGCACACCATGCTCACCTGGGCTGGTTGTGCCACCAGCACAGCACACCATGCTCACCTGGGCTGGTTGTGCCACCAGCACAGCACACCATGCTCACCTGGGCTGGTTGTGCCACCAGCACAGCACACCATGCTCACCTGGGCTGGTTGTGCCACCAGCACAGCACACCATGCTCACCTGGGCTGGTTGTGCCACCAGCACAGCACACCATGCTCACCTGGGCTGGTTGTGCCACCAGCACAGCACACCATGCTCACCTGGGCTGGTTGTGCCACCAGCACAGCACACCATGCTCACCTGGGCTGGTTGTGCCACCAGCACAGCACACCATGCTCACCTGGGCTGGTTGTGCCACCAGCACAGCACACCATGCTCACCTGGGCTGGTTGTGCCACCAGCACAGCACCCCATGCTCACCTGGGCTGGTTGTGCCACCAGCACAGCACCCCATGCTCACCTGGGCTGGTTGTGCCACCAGCACAGCACCCCATGCTCACCTGGGCTGGTTGTGCCACCAGCACAGCACCCCATGCTCACCAGGGCTGGTTGTGCCACCAGCACAGCACACCATGCTCACCTGGGCTGGTTGTGCCACCAGCACAGCACACCATGCTCACCTGGGCTGGTTGTGCCACCAGCACAGCACACAATGCTCACCTGGGCTGGTTGTGCCACCAGCACAGCACACCATGCTCACCTGGGCTGGTTGTGCCACCAGCACAGCACACCATGCTCACCTGGGCTGGTTGTGCCACCAGCACAGCACACCATGCTCACCTGGGCTGGTTGTGCCACCAGCACAGCACCCCATGCTCACCTGGGCTGGTTGTGCCACCAGCACAGCACACCATGCTCACCTGGGCTGGTTGTGCCACCAGCACAGCACACCATGCTCACCTGGGCTGGTTGTGCCACCAGCACAGCACACCATGCTCACCTGGGCTGGTTGTGCCACCAGCACAGCACACCATGCTCACCTGGGCTGGTTGTGCCACCAGCACAGCACACCATGCTCACCTGGGCTGGTTGTGCCACCAGCACAGCACACCATGCTCACCTGGGCTGGTTGTGCCACCAGCACAGCACACCATGCTCACCTGGGCTGGTTGTGCCACCAGCACAGCACCCCATGCTCACCTGGGCTGGTTGTGCCACCAGCACAGCACACCATGCTCACCTGGGCTGGTTGTGCCACCAGCACAGCACCCCATGCTCACCTGGGCTGGTTGTGCCACCAGCACAGCACACCATGCTCACCTGGGCTGGTTGTGCCACCAGCACAGCACACCATGCTCACCTGGGCTGGTTGTGCCACCAGCACAGCACCCCATGCTCACCTGGGCTGGTTGTGCCACCAGCACAGCACACCATGCTCACCTGGGCTGGTTGTGCCACCAGCACAGCACACCATGCTCACCTGGGCTGGTTGTGCCACCAGCACAGCACACCATGCTCACCTGGGCTGGTTGTGCCACCAGCACAGCACACCATGCTCACCTGGGCTGGTTGTGCCACCAGCACAGCACCCCATGCTCACCTGGGCTGGTTGTGCCACCAGCACAGCACACCATGCTCACCTGGGCTGGTTGTGCCACCAGCACAGCACCCCATGCTCACCTGGGCTGGTTGTGCCACCAGCACAGCACCCCATGCTCACCTGGGCTGGTTGTGCCACCAGCACAGCACCCCATGCTCACCTGGGCTGGTTGTGCCACCAGCACAGCACACCATGCTCACCTGGGCTGGTTGTGCCACCAGCACAGCACCCCATGCTCACCTGGGCTGGTTGTGCCACCAGCACAGCACCCCATGCTCACCTGGGCTGGTTGTGCCACCAGCACAGCACCCCATGCTCACCTGGGCTGGTTGTGCCACCAGCACAGCACCCCATGCTCACCTGGGCTGGTTGTGCCACCAGCACAGCACACCATGCTCACCTGGGCTGGTTGTGCCACCAGCACAGCACCCCATGCTCACCTGGGCTGGTTGTGCCACCAGCACAGCACACCATGCTCACCTGGGCTGGTTGTGCCACCAGCACAGCACCCCATGCTCACCTGGGCTGGTTGTGCCACCAGCACAGCACACCATGCTCACCTGGGCTGGTTGTGCCACCAGCACAGCACACCATGCTCACCTGGGCTGGTTGTGCCACCAGCACAGCACACCATGCTCACCTGGGCTGGTTGTGCCACCAGCACAGCACACCATGCTCACCTGGGCTGGTTGTGCCACCAGCACAGCACACCATGCTCACCTGGGCTGGTTGTGCCACCAGCACAGCACCCCATGCTCACCTGGGCTGGTTGTGCCACCAGCACAGCACCCCATGCTCACCTGGGCTGGTTGTGCCACCAGCACAGCACCCCATGCTCACCTGGGCTGGTTGTGCCACCAGCACAGCACCCCATGCTCACCAGGGCTGGTTGTGCCACCAGCACAGCACACCATGCTCACCTGGGCTGGTTGTGCCACCAGCACAGCACACCATGCTCACCTGGGCTGGTTGTGCCACCAGCACAGCACACAATGCTCACCTGGGCTGGTTGTGCCACCAGCACAGCACACCATGCTCACCTGGGCTGGTTGTGCCACCAGCACAGCACACCATGCTCACCTGGGCTGGTTGTGCCACCAGCACAGCACACCATGCTCACCTGGGCTGGTTGTGCCACCAGCACAGCACCCCATGCTCACCTGGGCTGGTTGTGCCACCAGCACAGCACACCATGCTCACCTGGGCTGGTTGTGCCACCAGCACAGCACACCATGCTCACCTGGGCTGGTTGTGCCACCAGCACAGCACACCATGCTCACCTGGGCTGGTTGTGCCACCAGCACAGCACACCATGCTCACCTGGGCTGGTTGTGCCACCAGCACAGCACACCATGCTCACCTGGGCTGGTTGTGCCACCAGCACAGCACACCATGCTCACCTGGGCTGGTTGTGCCACCAGCACAGCACACCATGCTCACCTGGGCTGGTTGTGCCACCAGCACAGCACCCCATGCTCACCTGGGCTGGTTGTGCCACCAGCACAGCACACCATGCTCACCTGGGCTGGTTGTGCCACCAGCACAGCACCCCATGCTCACCTGGGCTGGTTGTGCCACCAGCACAGCACCCCATGCTCACCTGGGCTGGTTGTGCCACCAGCACAGCACACCATGCTCACCTGGGCTGGTTGTGCCACCAGCACAGCACCCCATGCTCACCTGGGCTGGTTGTGCCACCAGCACAGCACACCATGCTCACCTGGGCTGGTTGTGCCACCAGCACAGCACACCATGCTCACCTGGGCTGGTTGTGCCACCAGCACAGCACACCATGCTCACCTGGGCTGGTTGTGCCACCAGCACAGCACACCATGCTCACCTGGGCTGGTTGTGCCACCAGCACAGCACCCCATGCTCACCTGGGCTGGTTGTGCCACCAGCACAGCACACCATGCTCACCTGGGCTGGTTGTGCCACCAGCACAGCACCCCATGCTCACCTGGGCTGGTTGTGCCACCAGCACAGCACCCCATGCTCACCTGGGCTGGTTGTGCCACCAGCACAGCACCCCATGCTCACCTGGGCTGGTTGTGCCACCAGCACAGCACCCCATGCTCACCTGGGCTGGTTGTGCCACCAGCACAGCACACCATGCTCACCTGGGCTGGTTGTGCCACCAGCACAGCACCCCATGCTCACCTGGGCTGGTTGTGCCACCAGCACAGCACACCATGCTCACCTGGGCTGGTTGTGCCACCAGCACAGCACCCCATGCTCACCTGGGCTGGTTGTGCCACCAGCACAGCACACCATGCTCACCTGGGCTGGTTGTGCCACCAGCACAGCACACCATGCTCACCTGGGCTGGTTGTGCCACCAGCACAGCACACCATGCTCACCTGGGCTGGTTGTGCCACCAGCACAGCACACCATGCTCACCTGGGCTGGTTGTGCCACCAGCACAGCACCCCATGCTCACCTGGGCTGGTTGTGCCACCAGCACAGCACACCATGCTCACCTGGGCTGGTTGTGCCACCAGCACAGCACCCCATGCTCACCTGGGCTGGTTGTGCCACCAGCACAGCACCCCATGCTCACCTGGGCTGGTTGTGCCACCAGCACAGCACACCATGCTCACCTGGGCTGGTTGTGCCACCAGCACAGCACACCATGCTCACCTGGGCTGGTTGTGCCACCAGCACAGCACACCATGCTCACCTGGGCTGGTTGTGCCACCAGCACAGCACACCATGCTCACCTGGGCTGGTTGTGCCACCAGCACAGCACACCATGCTCACCTGGGCTGGTTGTGCCACCAGCACAGCACACCATGCTCACCTGGGCTGGTTGTGCCACCAGCACAGCACACCATGCTCACCTGGGCTGGTTGTGCCACCAGCACAGCACCCCATGCTCACCTGGGCTGGTTGTGCCACCAGCACAGCACACCATGCTCACCTGGGCTGGTTGTGCCACCAGCACAGCACACCATGCTCACCTGGGCTGGTTGTGCCACCAGCACAGCACACCATGCTCACCTGGGCTGGTTGTGCCACCAGCACAGCACACCATGCTCACCTGGGCTGGTTGTGCCACCAGCACAGCACACCATGCTCACCTGGGCTGGTTGTGCCACCAGCACAGCACACCATGCTCACCTGGGCTGGTTGTGCCACCAGCACAGCACCCCATGCTCACCTGGGCTGGTTGTGCCACCAGCACAGCACACCATGCTCACCTGGGCTGGTTGTGCCACCAGCACAGCACACCATGCTCACCTGGGCTGGTTGTGCCACCAGCACAGCACACCATGCTCACCTGGGCTGGTTGTGCCACCAGCACAGCACACCATGCTCACCTGGGCTGGTTGTGCCACCAGCACAGCACACCATGCTCACCTGGGCTGGTTGTGCCACCAGCACAGCACACCATGCTCACCTGGGCTGGTTGTGCCACCAGCACAGCACACCATGCTCACCTGGGCTGGTTGTGCCACCAGCACAGCACACCATGCTCACCTGGGCTGGTTGTGCCACCAGCACAGCACACCATGCTCACCTGGGCTGGTTGTGCCACCAGCACAGCACACCATGCTCACCTGGGCTGGTTGTGCCACCAGCACAGCACCCCATGCTCACCTGGGCTGGTTGTGCCACCAGCACAGCACACCATGCTCACCTGGGCTGGTTGTGCCACCAGCACAGCACACCATGCTCACCTGGGCTGGTTGTGCCACCAGCACAGCACACCATGCTCACCTGGGCTGGTTGTGCCACCAGCACAGCACACCATGCTCACCTGGGCTGGTTGTGCCACCAGCACAGCACACCATGCTCACCTGGGCTGGTTGTGCCACCAGCACAGCACCCCATGCTCACCTGGGCTGGTTGTGCCACCAGCACAGCACCCCATGCTCACCTGGGCTGGTTGTGCCACCAGCACAGCACACCATGCTCACCTGGGCTGGTTGTGCCACCAGCACAGCACACCATGCTCACCTGGGCTGGTTGTGCCACCAGCACAGCACCCCATGCTCACCTGGGCTGGTTGTGCCACCAGCACAGCACCCCATGCTCACCTGGGCTGGTTGTGCCACCAGCACAGCACACCATGCTCACCTGGGCTGGTTGTGCCACCAGCACAGCACACCATGCTCACCTGGGCTGGTTGTGCCACCAGCACAGCACACCATGCTCACCTGGGCTGGTTGTGCCACCAGCACAGCACACCATGCTCACCTGGGCTGGTTGTGCCACCAGCACAGCACACCATGCTCACCTGGGCTGGTTGTGCCACCAGCACAGCACACCATGCTCACCTGGGCTGGTTGTGCCACCAGCACAGCACACCATGCTCACCTGGGCTGGTTGTGCCACCAGCACAGCACACCATGCTCACCTGGGCTGGTTGTGCCACCAGCACAGCACACCATGCTCACCTGGGCTGGTTGTGCCACCAGCACAGCACCCCATGCTCACCTGTGCTGGTTGTGCCACCAGCACAGCACCCCATGCTCACCTGGGCTGGTTGTGCCACCAGCACAGCACACCATGCTCACCTGGGCTGGTTGTGCCACCAGCACAGCACACCATGCTCACCTGGGCTGGTTGTGCCACCAGCACAGCACACCATGCTCACCTGGGCTGGTTGTGCCACCAGCACAGCACACCATGCTCACCTGGGCTGGTTGTGCCACCAGCACAGCACACCATGCTCACCTGGGCTGGTTGTGCCACCAGCACAGCACACCATGCTCACCTGGGCTGGTTGTGCCACCAGCACAGCACACCATGCTCACCTGGGCTGGTTGTGCCACCAGCACAGCACACCATGCTCACCTGGGCTGGTTGTGCCACCAGCACAGCACACCATGCTCACCTGGGCTGGTTGTGCCACCAGCACAGCACACCATGCTCACCTGGGCTGGTTGTGCCACCAGCACAGCACACCATGCTCACCTGGGCTGGTTGTGCCACCAGCACAGCACACCATGCTCACCTGGGCTGGTTGTGCCACCAGCACAGCACACCATGCTCACCTGGGCTGGTTGTGCCACCAGCACAGCACCCCATGCTCACCTGGGCTGGTTGTGCCACCAGCACAGCACCCCATGCTCACCTGGGCTGGTTGTGCCACCAGCACAGCACACCATGCTCACCTGGGCTGGTTGTGCCACCAGCACAGCACCCCATGCTCACCTGGGCTGGTTGTGCCACCAGCACAGCACACCATGCTCACCTGGGCTGGTTGTGCCACCAGCACAGCACACCATGCTCACCTGGGCTGGTTGTGCCACCAGCACAGCACACCATGCTCACCTGGGCTGGTTGTGCCACCAGCACAGCACACCATGCTCACCTGGGCTGGTTGTGCCACCAGCACAGCACACCATGCTCACCTGGGCTGGTTGTGCCACCAGCACAGCACACCATGCTCACCTGGGCTGGTTGTGCCACCAGCACAGCACCCCATGCTCACCTGGGCTGGTTGTGCCACCAGCACAGCACACCATGCTCACCTGGGCTGGTTGTGCCACCAGCACAGCACCCCATGCTCACCTGGGCTGGTTGTGCCACCAGCACAGCACCCCATGCTCACCTGGGCTGGTTGTGCCACCAGCACAGCACCCCATGCTCACCTGGGCTGGTTGTGCCACCAGCACAGCACACCATGCTCACCTGGGCTGGTTGTGCCACCAGCACAGCACCCCATGCTCACCTGGGCTGGTTGTGCCACCAGCACAGCACACCATGCTCACCTGGGCTGGTTGTGCCACCAGCACAGCACACCATGCTCACCTGGGCTGGTTGTGCCACCAGCACAGCACACCATGCTCACCTGGGCTGGTTGTGCCACCAGCACAGCACACCATGCTCACCTGGGCTGGTTGTGCCACCAGCACAGCACACCATGCTCACCTGGGCTGGTTGTGCCACCAGCACAGCACACCATGCTCACCTGGGCTGGTTGTGCCACCAGCACAGCACACCATGCTCACCTGGGCTGGTTGTGCCACCAGCACAGCACACCATGCTCACCTGGGCTGGTTGTGCCACCAGCACAGCACCCCATGCTCACCTGGGCTGGTTGTGCCACCAGCACAGCACACCATGCTCACCTGGGCTGGTTGTGCCACCAGCACAGCACACCATGCTCACCTGGGCTGGTTGTGCCACCAGCACAGCACACCATGCTCACCTGGGCTGGTTGTGCCACCAGCACAGCACACCATGCTCACCTGGGCTGGTTGTGCCACCAGCACAGCACACCATGCTCACCTGGGCTGGTTGTGCCACCAGCACAGCACACCATGCTCACCTGGGCTGGTTGTGCCACCAGCACAGCACCCCATGCTCACCTGGGCTGGTTGTGCCACCAGCACAGCACCCCATGCTCACCTGGGCTGGTTGTGCCACCAGCATAGCACCCCATGCTCACCTGGGCTGGTTGTGCCACCAGCACAGCACCCCATGCTCACCTGGGCTGGTTGTGCCACCAGCACAGCACCCCATGCTCACCTGGGCTGGTTGTGCCACCAGCACAGCACACCATGCTCACCTGGGCTGGTTGTGCCACCAGCACAGCACACCATGCTCACCTGGGCTGGTTGTGCCACCAGCACAGCACACCATGCTCACCTGGGCTGGTTGTGCCACCAGCACAGCACACCATGCTCACCTGGGCTGGTTGTGCCACCAGCACAGCACACCATGCTCACCTGGGCTGGTTGTGCCACCAGCACAGCACACCATGCTCACCTGGGCTGGTTGTGCCACCAGCACAGCACACCATGCTCACCTGGGCTGGTTGTGCCACCAGCACAGCACACCATGCTCACCTGGGCTGGTTGTGCCACCAGCACAGCACACCATGCTCACCTGGGCTGGTTGTGCCACCAGCACAGCACACCATGCTCACCTGGGCTGGTTGTGCCACCAGCACAGCACCCCATGCTCACCTGGGCTGGTTGTGCCACCAGCACAGCACACCATGCTCACCTGGGCTGGTTGTGCCACCAGCACAGCACCCCATGCTCACCTGGGCTGGTTGTGCCACCAGCACAGCACCCCATGCTCACCTGGGCTGGTTGTGCCACCAGCACAGCACCCCATGCTCACCTGGGCTGGTTGTGCCACCAGCACAGCACCCCATGCTCACCAGGGCTGGTTGTGCCACCAGCACAGCACACCATGCTCACCTGGGCTGGTTGTGCCACCAGCACAGCACACCATGCTCACCTGGGCTGGTTGTGCCACCAGCACAGCACACAATGCTCACCTGGGCTGGTTGTGCCACCAGCACAGCACACCATGCTCACCTGGGCTGGTTGTGCCACCAGCACAGCACACCATGCTCACCTGGGCTGGTTGTGCCACCAGCACAGCACACCATGCTCACCTGGGCTGGTTGTGCCACCAGCACAGCACCCCATGCTCACCTGGGCTGGTTGTGCCACCAGCACAGCACACCATGCTCACCTGGGCTGGTTGTGCCACCAGCACAGCACACCATGCTCACCTGGGCTGGTTGTGCCACCAGCACAGCACACCATGCTCACCTGGGCTGGTTGTGCCACCAGCACAGCACACCATGCTCACCTGGGCTGGTTGTGCCACCAGCACAGCACACCATGCTCACCTGGGCTGGTTGTGCCACCAGCACAGCACACCATGCTCACCTGGGCTGGTTGTGCCACCAGCACAGCACACCATGCTCACCTGGGCTGGTTGTGCCACCAGCACAGCACACCATGCTCACCTGGGCTGGTTGTGCCACCAGCACAGCACACCATGCTCACCTGGGCTGGTTGTGCCACCAGCACAGCACACCATGCTCACCTGGGCTGGTTGTGCCACCAGCACAGCACCCCATGCTCACCTGGGCTGGTTGTGCCACCAGCACAGCACACCATGCTCACCTGGGCTGGTTGTGCCACCAGCACAGCACACCATGCTCACCTGGGCTGGTTGTGCCACCAGCACAGCACACCATGCTCACCTGGGCTGGTTGTGCCACCAGCACAGCACACCATGCTCACCTGGGCTGGTTGTGCCACCAGCACAGCACACCATGCTCACCTGGGCTGGTTGTGCCACCAGCACAGCACCCCATGCTCACCTGGGCTGGTTGTGCCACCAGCACAGCACCCCATGCTCACCTGGGCTGGTTGTGCCACCAGCACAGCACACCATGCTCACCTGGGCTGGTTGTGCCACCAGCACAGCACACCATGCTCACCTGGGCTGGTTGTGCCACCAGCACAGCACCCCATGCTCACCTGGGCTGGTTGTGCCACCAGCACAGCACCCCATGCTCACCTGGGCTGGTTGTGCCACCAGCACAGCACACCATGCTCACCTGGGCTGGTTGTGCCACCAGCACAGCACACCATGCTCACCTGGGCTGGTTGTGCCACCAGCACAGCACACCATGCTCACCTGGGCTGGTTGTGCCACCAGCACAGCACACCATGCTCACCTGGGCTGGTTGTGCCACCAGCACAGCACACCATGCTCACCTGGGCTGGTTGTGCCACCAGCACAGCACACCATGCTCACCTGGGCTGGTTGTGCCACCAGCACAGCACACCATGCTCACCTGGGCTGGTTGTGCCACCAGCACAGCACACCATGCTCACCTGGGCTGGTTGTGCCACCAGCACAGCACACCATGCTCACCTGGGCTGGTTGTGCCACCAGCACAGCACCCCATGCTCACCTGGGCTGGTTGTGCCACCAGCACAGCACACCATGCTCACCTGGGCTGGTTGTGCCACCAGCACAGCACCCCATGCTCACCTGGGCTGGTTGTGCCACCAGCACAGCACCCCATGCTCACCTGGGCTGGTTGTGCCACCAGCACAGCACCCCATGCTCACCTGGGCTGGTTGTGCCACCAGCACAGCACCCCATGCTCACCTGGGCTGGTTGTGCCACCAGCACAGCACACCATGCTCACCTGGGCTGGTTGTGCCACCAGCACAGCACACCATGCTCACCTGGGCTGGTTGTGCCACCAGCACAGCACACCATGCTCACCTGGGCTGGTTGTGCCACCAGCACAGCACACCATGCTCACCTGGGCTGGTTGTGCCACCAGCACAGCACCCCATGCTCACCTGGGCTGGTTGTGCCACCAGCACAGCACCCCATGCTCACCTGGGCTGGTTGTGCCACCAGCACAGCACACCATGCTCACCTGGGCTGGTTGTGCCACCAGCACAGCACACCATGCTCACCTGGGCTGGTTGTGCCACCAGCACAGCACCCCATGCTCACCTGGGCTGGTTGTGCCACCAGCACAGCACACCATGCTCACCTGGGCTGGTTGTGCCACCAGCACAGCACACCATGCTCACCTGGGCTGGTTGTGCCACCAGCACAGCACACCATGCTCACCTGGGCTGGTTGTGCCACCAGCACAGCACACCATGCTCACCTGGGCTGGTTGTGCCACCAGCACAGCACCCCATGCTCACCTGGGCTGGTTGTGCCACCAGCACAGCACACCATGCTCACCTGGGCTGGTTGTGCCACCAGCACAGCACCCCATGCTCACCTGGGCTGGTTGTGCCACCAGCACAGCACCCCATGCTCACCTGGGCTGGTTGTGCCACCAGCACAGCACACCATGCTCACCTGGGCTGGTTGTGCCACCAGCACAGCACACCATGTTCACCTGGGCTGGTTGTGCCACCAGCACAGCACACCATGCTCACCTGGGCTGGTTGTGCCACCAGCACAGCACACCATGCTCACCTGGGCTGGTTGTGCCACCAGCACAGCACCCCATGCTCACCTGGGCTGGTTGTGCCACCAGCACAGCACCCCATGCTCACCTGGGCTGGTTGTGCCACCAGCACAGCACACCATGCTCACCTGGGCTGGTTGTGCCACCAGCACAGCACCCCATGCTCACCTGGGCTGGTTGTGCCACCAGCACAGCACCCCAGTGCCCACCTGGTTGTGCTCACTGCAATCCTACTGCTCACAGCGCTCTCTGCTCTCACCTGGTGGATGGAATGGAATGGATGAGCAGCACCATATCCCTCCTCCACCCACCTGGATGTACGACTGGAAGTTGAAGTAGGGCACATCGTTCACTGTGAAGCTCTGCCTGCTCGTTCATGGGGGGGAAGAGAGGAGAAGGGAGGAGAAAGGAGGGGAGAGGAGGGGAGGGTAAGGGAGCGTAGGGATCATGCATGGATGGATCATGGATGCATGCCCTGCACTGCACGAACGAACGAAGAGGTGAGTGAATGTGCACTCATGGGCACACCTGTGACTTGGCCCAAAACTCCTCTCTTGGCGCATCCATTATCCCCATCCTTATCCCCATCCTTATCCCCATCCTTATCCCCATCCTTATCCCCATCCTTATCCCCATCCTTATCCCCATCCTTATCCCCATCCTTATCCCCATCCCCCCCAATCTGATTCCCAGGTGTCTTGTCTTCGCCCTCCTGCCCGCCCAACAGCTGCTCACACCTCTCATGCCCCGGTTCCCCCACATGCTCAACCCCCCACTCCCACGTGCCACATCCCAGCGAAGACAAGACACCGCTCCCACATGCCACATCCCCCTCCATGCCTCACCCCAGCGACGCCAGCCCTCCAAAGTTGGCCTTCTTGAGCGGCTGGAACTCCTGCTGCCGCAGCTTGAAGAACTGGAGAGCGGAGGGGCGGAAGAGGAACGGGGGGGACAGAAGGGTGGGGAGGAGAAGGGTCAGGTGGAATCAAAGGGTAGCTACTCAACAGCCGAAGTTGGCTTGAGCGGCTGGAACTCCTGCTGGCGCAGCTTGAATAACTGGAGAGGAGGGAGTGGGAGGCAGATGGGGGACAGAAGGGTGGGTGAGCTATGATCATATCTCTCCAATACATGTCCTGGTCGGCAGGTATATGTCCCTCTGGTGAGGTCTACCTGTAGCACGGTCAGCAGTGGGCCTCAGCCTTCACGACACATGATTAAATCCAATCAGTCAGCTCTTACACACTCACTCACATCCCCAAGTCATTTTTTTTTTACATCCCCTGCTGCACTCATTGAAGTCACTCACATTTGAACCACACTTAACACCTACTCACACCTCTTTTCTTGTGGTGCACACTGGTCTTCTTCATCTAAAGCTCCTTAATCACCTCACCTCCCTTTTTGCGCTCATGAATGTTCATCACCTCCCCTGTTGCGCTGCGGTCATCACAATTTCAGAAGCACTCACTTCGAAACTGCACTGCACTTCGAAACTGCACTGCACTTCGAAACTGCACTTCTGTTTAAACAGATTATCCGGCCGGCTGGACTCAACTCAACGCCCGCACTGCACTGCACGCACCTCTTGCAGTCGGTGGACAACACCGGTTTCCATCCCCAGTTCGTTAATCACCTCCCCTGCTGCATTCATAATGAAATCGCTCAACCCTTTGAACCGCACTCAACGCCTGCGCGCACCTCTTTCTTGTAATCCGCACCAGTCTTCATCCCCAGCTCGTTAATAACCTCCTCTGCCACATTCATTAGCACCACCTGACAGCCGCAGCAGGGAAGCAGAGGGTGGAGGGAACGGGGGAGAGGGGAGGAGCTGTGTCTACGGTCTGTACTCCCATCTCCCTGCTCACCTCTCTCTGATACGCTGCGCCTGTCTGTGCCCCCAGTTCCCTCTGCACTTCCTCTGCCGCGTTCAGAAGCAGGACCTGATAGAAAGGTCCCACAGACAGGCAGTAAGTGAGCAACGCTACGGGAGAACTGTGCAGATAGTGAAGAGAATAGCAGAGAGAGTAGGGAGGGAGCAGTGAGCAGAGGGCAGAGAAGCGGGAGAGAAACGAAGAGAGGGCAGAACAGGCCAGTGCAAGGGGCGAATTTTGCAGCATTTTGAGTCATCTCAAGGAGCAGCCAGGAAACACTACCAAGGAGCACTCAGTCAGTCACTCACACTCACTCACTCCCTATCACACTCACTCACTCCCTATCACACTCACTCACTCCCTATCACACTCACTCACTCACCCCAAAGTTGTCCTTCATCTGTCGAATCTCCACACTCTTGCCGTCACCCCACTGCCGAGCCTCCACCCCCCATGCAGCACCGCCCATCCCCGGATTCCCCACCACTGACCCGCCAACCAGCCCTGACGCAGCAAGAGAGGCTCCCAGCATCACACCCCTCCTCCCTACTTGCAACTGCAGTGTCTGACATTCCTCAGACACTGCCGGTCCTACTGCTGCTGACAATGATATTAATGATGGAGATGATGGTGATGATGGTGAAGGGGAATCTCTAGTAGCAAATACAGACTCCCCATGGCTCCTGTCAGAAAAATCAGCTTCTCCGCTCTGCCTGCCAGAATCCCTGCCTTCTCTGCTCTGCCTGCAGCTGACCCATCTACTGTGCTGCACACATGTGTGTCTCCCATGTGTGTATCCCCTCCTTCTCAAGAGGAGGCATGGGGTTGCAATTGGACGAGGAGGGGTGGAGGAGGGGGAGGCAGTGACGGGGTGGAACCAGGCTGGGGAGTGTGCGAGGGCGGAAATCATGCTTGCTTGCTCGGCTTCTGCTCGCCTTCTGCTTGGCTTCAGCTTGGCTCCTGCTCTCTGTGTCACGCTGTGGAGCACTGGATATTAACAACAAACAGCCTCGTCTTGTCTCGTGCCGAACACAATCTCGTCCAATCACGTGGCGAAGCGTCTCGTCCAATCAGCGGCGATGCGGTCGTGTGAGGGGCGGTCAAACACAAAACGATGTGCGATGCACCCCACCAGCGCTTCCTCTGAGAGGGACGGAACGATTGGGAGTGGGAGAAGGGGGAGGGGGAGGCGGGGGGAGGAGGGGAGGGAGGTTAGACACAAACACAGCAAGCAATGCGTTGAGCACCCAACAGGCGCTTCCTCTGTAAATAAAAAAGTAAAGAGGGACCAGGGAGAGGCAGGCAAACCGACACAAAGCGATTGTTTTCACTCACATGCATCACGTCCCCTTTTTGAGTCGACTCAATAAAGTATGCACATGCATCACACTGATCCCCCCACCACCAGTGGTTGGCCCCCATGAATAAGGTTTATACGGAATAATGGAAGCAGGATAAGGGGACTTTTGAGTTGACTCAAAGGTCACCTCGTTACAATGTCACAAGTGAACAGACAGCTTTTCTGCAAGAGAGCAATTATCGCATGAAGGCCACCACCCGTGGTTAATCGGTCCCCATGACATGAAGGAGGTATATATGGAAACAGTAGGATATGGTTAAAACAGGAGGCATTTGAGATTCATGTGCCCTGGAGTTCCGATTTTGAAATTTCTCAAAAGCGACTCAGAGTTCTGAGGCGAGAAGAGAAGCACATGCGATGTGCTGTGTGTGTGCTGCCGAAATTGCACATCCGCATGCAAGCGCGTGCATTGTTAATGTGCAATGACAGATCATAATGAGCAACTGGTAAAACAAGATGTGCTGTCACATGACAGAACGTTACATGGCACACCATGCCATGTCACTACGATCTAGCACGTGACACTTCACCAACTTGACTTGACAACCCACACCACGCCAAGCTGCTTCAGCTGGTATGATGGCTTGCATGCAGCACATGCGGTGATGGTCATGGAAGGGCTGAGGGCTCCAATTAATCAGCATTTACAAACTCACCCACCCACACTGCACACCACCACACCACACCATTCTACACCAGCTCACCTGGCACGGGGAACTCACAGCAGATGGATGGATGATGGCTTGCATTGCAGCCTGCAGGGGCGATGGTCATTGCAGGGCGGAGGGCTCCATATAGATAGCATGACCACCCATCCACAAGCACCACAGCACATCAACCAAACCATGACATACCAGCTCAGCTCACCTGGCATGGAGAACCGGAGCAGGTGGATGACGGCTTGCAAGACGCCAGCCACCGTCCAGCAGGCAAGCAGCAACGACGCCCACCACACCGAAGGATGCCAGCCACCTAACTCCCTCCCTACATAGTGCCTCACTCACGAGGAACCGGGAATCTCAGGAGATGGATGATGGCTTGCAGCACACGGGCGATGGTCATGGCAGGGCTCCACTCCAGGCATCGTCCAGCAGATGAGAGACCCTAACACATGACACCAGCTTACCTGGCACGGGGAACTTTAGGAGATGAATGACAGCTTGCAGCAGGCGCGCAATGGTCATGGCAGGGCTCCAGGCTTCCAGCAGATGCACACAGACCAACATCAACATCACAGGACAAGCCAAGCCACATCAACGGCCTGAGAGCCCAAGCCATGCTCCTCACCAGGAACAGGGAACCTCAGCAGGTGGATGATGGCTTGCAGCACGCGGGCTATGGTCATGGCAGGGCTCCAGCCATCGTCCAGCAGATGCAGCCGAATGCGCCCACTGGCGCTGCACACGTTGCAGTGGTACACGCGCGTGCGGAAACACACCTGGGTGGATGCAAGGCGGCACGGGGAAGAAGGGGATGGGTCGAGGGGGTGGCAGGGCATGGCAGGCAAGAAGGAGGGCAGAGATGCGCCCGCTGGCGCTGCACACGTTGCAGTGGTACACGCGCGTGCGGAAAGACACCTGCGTGGATGCAAGGGGCAAGGGTGGGGTGTCGGGGGGATGGGGTTGGATGGAAGCGCATGGGCACACAAGTAGGCATGGAAGAGACGAGCCCACTGGCGCTGCACACGTTGCAGTGGTACACGCGCGTGCCGAAACACACCTGCGTGGTGAGAGAGGGGAGGGGGAGGAGGGGAGGAGGCGGTGGGAATGTGGGGGGAATGGCCTGCTGCAGCTAGACACGTTGCTGCAGTGGTGCACAGCACACGTGGCACTGCAGTGGTGCACACGTGGCACTGCAGTGGTGCACACGTGGCACTGCAGTGGTTCACACGTGGCACTCCAGTGGTTCACACGCGTGTTCCGCCCGCACGCACGTGGCTCGCTTGGCATGGCAGTGGGCGTTGCTTCATGCCATGGCTGGAGCACTCTTCCCCACTCCAAGTGGGCGTTAGAATTACTATTGAAATCTCTTAGAAGTGATTTCATTCAACTCGCTTCGCATGGCAGTGGGCGGTGCTTCATGCCATGCCATGCCTGAAGCACTGCCCTGCCCCTTTTTCAATTCAAGCGGGCGTGACTCAACAGCTGCTTCACTTCACTCACAATGCCGCAAGAGTCAAGGGTTTTGTGCCTACCTGTGTCGTGTGCCATTGTAACGAGGTGACTTTTGAGTCCACTCATAAGTCAATTCAAGTGGGCGTTACTCAACATCTGCTTCACTTCACTTCACTCACAATGCCACAAGAGTCAAGGGTTGGTTTTGTGCCTACCTGTGGCGGCCTGAAGGGGTAGTCCTGGGGAAAGGCAATGTCGAGTAAAAACACTCCTCCCCCCCCCCCCCCCCCCCCCCTTCCCCATAAGGCAAGTCTTGCGTATGAAAGGCGAGAGATAGAGATGGGGAGAGGAGGAGGAAGGGGTGCCTACCTGTGGCGGCCTAAAAGGGTAGTCCTGGGGAAAGGCAATGTCGAGGAAAAACACTCCCCCACGATAAGGCGAGTCTGCAGTATGAAGGAGAGGGGGAACGAGATGGAGTGGGTAGGAGGGGGAAACGGATAAGAAGGGGTAGTCCTGGGGAAAGGCAATGACGAGGAAAAACACTCCCCCACGATAAGGCGAGTCTGCAGTATGAAAGGAGGGAGAGGGATAGGCAGGGGGAAAGGGAGAGAGGGAAGGGTGTGGTGAGGAGTGAAAGGGGTCCGTCCCAAGGGGCAGTTTTGAGGGTAGCAAACCCGTGGGGGAAAGCAAATCCGTGGGTGGGGGGAGAAGCAATCTGGGAGTGAAGGAAACGTGTGGGAGAAGGGAATTTGGAGAGGAAGACTCCTCCGGGAGGGCAAAGAGTAGACGAACGGGGGGTCCCAACCAACAAAGCCCATAGTTACATAAAATCAGCATAAAGGGTCAGCTTTAGAATACGTTCCCGTTACAAGAGCATTCCCTGTGGCCCTTCGTTAGAGTACATCTAGCACCTTGTGGGCCGAGCATAGTGGCAGTCACACACGCGGTGCGTTACAGTCACACACCTGTTGCGCTCTACAGTCACACACCCGTTGCGCTACAGTCACACACCCGTTGCGCGCTACAGTCACACACCCGTTGCGCGCTACAGTCACACACCCGTTGTGCGCTACAGTCACACACCCGTTGCGCGCTACAGTCACACACCCGTTGCGCGCTACAGTCACACACCCGTTGCGCGCTCCAGTCACACACCCGTTGCGCGCTACAGTCACACACCCGTTGCGCGCTACAGTCACACACACACGCGTGTACTACCTGGCGGGCCGAGCAGGGTGGCGACCCACTGGAAGAGGTTGTCGCCTTTCGGCCCCGCCCAGCAGTCCGCGGAGGGCTCCGCGCCGATGTCCGCGAGCTCCTTCTGAATGCGCTTCGCGGCGGAGCACACCGACGCCGACAGGTTCATGCGCGGTCCGCGGTACTACTCGGCTTAAGCTGCTTCGTTAGTAGACAGAGTCCTTCTGAATGCGCTTCGCCGCGGAGCACACGGACGCCGACAGGTTCATCAAACGCGTACGCGCCTGTAGCTGCTTCGCTACTGGTCAGAATCCTCTGAATGCGCTTCGCCGCCGAGCCAACGGACGCCGACAGGTTCGTGAAATGCGCGGTCCGCTGTACTCGCCTGTAGCTGCTTCGTTACTGGTCACAGTTCTTAGAAGTGTGATTCGCCTGCAGCACAACAACGGACGTCTAGGTTCGTGAAATGCGTAATCTGCAACAGAAATTATTGAGATGCTATCTGTTGACGATCGTATTCGCGAAGTAGACGAACGCGGCTACAAGACACAACCGCCGATCGCGAGCAGGCGGAGCGCTAATAAGAGTTTATTGAACCAGACACGGCACCAATAAAGCAACGGTGCACATTTGCCACCCAAAACCCAGAACCCTGGCGAACTGTTACTGCGGATGGAAAGTGTCCGCACGAAATCCTGGTTTTCGCCAGCCAGCACTTTCGCGCTGGCAAGCCTGGTTAAAAAAAAAAGCTTCTGAACCCAACACTGCCAAAAGTTGCCCGTCGCTATAAGAGCCACGTTGGAGATTTCAATGGTATGTGATGAGATCAGACGTTGACGTGGATGTTCAGCGTTCACCCACCTTCGACGAGTTTGCGAAAGAAATTTGTTTGTCTAGGGCCCAGGTAGAGCTCGTTGGGAAGTTCCAATACACAAAATTGCACTTCCGTATCAAGTTCGGAGCGATTTCTGATTTAGGAAACCGAGGATAGTTTCAGACTAGGTTGCGACACCTCGGGCGTTCGAACGGGCCAATTCAAACAAGCACCGTACTGGAACGCTTTTTATGTCTCCTAAAAGTCCTGTACCATGGGAATTTCGGCGCTCGAACAGCTTGTTTCCGCCCGATGTCACGCACCCTTACTGTACTTGATCCCCCAACTGAAATAACATGCGACAAGAGGCGACCAGGGCGAGTCCAAAAATACGAACGAATGCGGCTTAGAGAGATTCCTGACGTTTCAGATCGGCTGTGTATGGTTTTGAAGTTTTACATTCGGACCCTTGGGACAGAAGGGGAATTACCATACTACCAGTGTGTTTACAATTCACGTATGGACACAGCAGTGTCAAAAACGGTTCAACGTGGCGAAGCTACAATACCGTTCAACAGAAGCACAGCATCGTACTCAACCGCTATAACTGAACACGCTGTCACTCGCTCTTACGATTCGCGGTGCATCCCAAGGCTGCGCGAATTTCCCATCACGTTGGCGCGAAATGCTCATCTTGACTGCTCGCATGCCATGTGTGGGATGGTGCTGCTGCTGCTTCAACTTGGCTCTTCTCCCATCTCTCTCATCAACCTGCTCCCTCACTTCGCTTCGTTGCTTCCTCCTCATCCTCCGAGCAAGCGGCAGTCGAGAAACACCGCAGCCAGCCTAATCTCTCACCATTTCTATCTCTCGTCCATTCCGTTGAGTTTCACCCTCATTCTTCGCTTTCGGCTCCTGAATAACACCTGCTTCTCTCCCACACCCGCTTCGCAACGCCACCGCTGAACCTTGAATAATGGTAATGCTGTTTCTCGTACTACCAAATGCGGCTGAGAATGCGGCATTCCTATGATAGAAATAAACGCTCTGCAATGTCCGAAGCAAGTAGTGAATTCCGCGGCGCCATCGCGAGGGCCGTTAGGCGTGCCGCGTGATTACGCCGCCTGATGCTCCTGCATCGATCTCCGCAGATTAAAGCTCGCGTCTCATATTTACAAGCGTTTAACACTCGGTTGGGTTTGCACGTCCATGATTGGTTCCGCCAGAAACGCACCCCAGCTCGAAACAGAATTTGTCGTTCGTCAACCAGTCACGGAACCCAACCAAGTGTTAAACGCTCCCAAGTGTAAAACGGAAAAAAAATTGAGACGCGAGCTTTAAGCGCCTAAAAACTCGCCGCAAAATGCGGCCTCTGCACTCATGGCGCGTACTAGCAGCGGCATCGTTCGCAGTGTGCGCCTTTTTCATAGATGTTTTAGCTAGAATAGAGCCGCATTACGCCTAGTACAGCTTCCTCATAATGCGATAGGCGCCCGTTTCGTCAGCGCGTCAAAGACCAGAGAAAGCTCATTGCTCGCGCGGAAATGCAGGGTAATAACTAGGAATTTCCATAAGTAAGCTGCTGGTCCCGCAGTGCCAGTGCGCGCGCATTGCGCCTTGCGCGGAGCTCGCCAGGTCCGCTGCCGCGTCGTGGCCCGGAGTGTGCCTAAACGCACAATCGCATGTGAGGCGATTCGGCATCGCGTGACGTCTTATGATCCTTTGGGGCGCCTCGCCTCACACGCCATCACGGCGTCGCACGACTTTTGAGACGTCTCAAAAAGCACGCCACCACGGCGTCGCACGCCACCACGGCGTCGCACGCCACCACGGCGTCTCATGGTGGCGGCTTCGCTGTCGCCTTGTTCTCCGCGATTCCGCTCTCTAAGCTCTCGCGGTCACGCGCTTCGTGAAAGAGCAATGCCGCGTTCCGTGGTGCTGGTTTGATCGCGAGGCACAACAACACTACGATCGAACATAAACTTCCCGCAGCATCTCCCCTTTCTCACACATCCGACCTTCTCCTCCCCCTCCTCCTCCCCCCCTCCCTCTCCCGCGCTTTCCCTTCCCACCTCCATTTTTCCACACATCCTCCCCTCTCCCCGTCGGCAGGAGGCCCTTTCGGACTTCGCCAACTACCTGACACGTGGCGTGCAGCGACGGGTGGAGATGATGGTGGCATACAAGGTGGAGGCCAAGCTGGACAGATACATCCCCGACGGATTCGTAAGCCTCTGCACCGCTCTCAACACCTCTGTCGTCCACTCCCTGTCTGCCTGCACCACTCTCACATCTCATCACACGATGAAGGGGGGAGGCGGTTGGGGGGGATGGCGGCAGTGCGCACAACTCCGTTTCCATCCATGTCCCTGGTCTCGACCGTCCCCATCCCCATGCACATCCTTCCTCCCTCCCCCCAGTGATTTCATGTCCGTTTGAGACGTCTCAGAAGTCGTCTCCAGTGATCCCATGTCCTGCCCTCAATCCCGTTTCCATCCATGTCCCTGGTCTCGACCCCATGCACATCCCCACTCCCTTCCCCCTTTTCTTGTTTCTGGTCGCTTCCTCCCTGCCACACACCCTCGCCACCCTTCCCCCCCAATCATACCCAGACGCTGCGGATTGCTCTCCGCATCGCCGAGGGGCTCGTTTCACCTCATTCGTGCACGGACTTCCTCCTGTGCTCCCAATGCCATTCCCCTTTTCCTTCCCATTCCCCTCCTCAACACCCCCACTCTATCACATTCACCTCCCAGTCATACACAGACGCCATCAAGATGCAGATTGCAATCTACATCGCTAAGGGGCTCGTCGCCCCGTACTTCCCCCCAGAAGACCCTGAGGAGGAGGCTCGGGAGGCAGCGGAGGAGGCTCGGAAAGCAGAAGAGGAGGCTCGGAAGAGGCTCGAGGAGGAGAAGCGGAGGCAGCAGGAGGAGGGGCAGGAGAGCAGCAGTTTCTGGAGCCTGTTTTCATGGGATGATGGGGAGGAGGAGGAGCAGGTGAAGGAAGAGAAGAAGGAGGCTGAGTCTTACCTCATGAGCTTCTTCCACAAGAAAGTGGTGCGTTGGTGCTGGGCTGGGTTGGGTTGGGTTGGGCTGGGTTGGGCTGGGCTGAGAGGGCTGCGTGTGTGACTGGGCTGGTTGGGCTGCATGGATGATGGAGGAGGTGGAATCCTGCCTGCCTCATTCATTCATCATCCCGTTGTTGCCTCGTCCTCCCCTTGTGGCCTTCATCAGCGCATTGCAATCAACATCACCTTGCTGGAATCCACATCACCTTGCTGCAATCCACATCACCTTGCTGCAATCCACATCATCTCGTTGCGATCCTCTGACACCATGACAAGTCAGACGCTGCAATGCAGAGGCAGAGGAGATGGTGTTGTGATGCCGTGTTGTTCACTGGTTTGGTGACGTAGAGGCACCATCCATGATCTCACCGCAATCCTCAATATCCTGTTGCAACCTGGTGTTGTGGCCAGTCAATATGTTTTCGTTAACTTCATCATCTTGCTACAATTTTCATCATCCCGTTGCATCGTTCTCGCGTGCCAGGACGAGCAGTCAGAGGCGACAAAGGCAGAGAAGACGGTGATGTCGTGTAGTGCTCTGCTTTGGTGTTGCGCCTCATTATCTTGCTGCAATTTCCACCATCCCGTTGCATCCATCGCACGTGCCAGGAGGAGAAGTCAGAGGCGGCGCAGGCAGAGGCAGAGAGGATCGTGGCGGCGCGATACGCACAGAAGAAGGCCGAAGCAGAGGATACGGCGAAGGAGGAGGAAGAGGAGCAGGGCGTGCTTGCCACAATCGGCAACTTCTTCAGCTCCACCTAGGGAGGTGACCCTTTGGATGAGATGAGTGGCAGAGCGCAGATAAAGCAGGCAAGGAGGAAGAGGAGCAGGGCGGGCTTGCCTTGCCATCATGAGGAACCCCTTCAGCTCCAGTTAGGGAGGTGGCCTTTGAATATACCAAGCAAGGAGGAGGAGGGGGAGGAGGGTATTCTTGCCACTACTAACAACTTCTTCAGCTCCAGCTAGATCGAGAAAGCTGCTTCTCAGCAACTGCCTTAGGATAAATCGAGCGGGTGGCAGTAAGCAGAGAAAGCAGCCGAGGCGCTTGTAGGGAAGCAAGGAGGAAGAGCAACATGGCGTCCTTGTGATCAACTGCGACTGAACCAGCCATACCTACATAGGCTTCAGTTGGAAGAGAATCATCCTTTTCCAAAGCTTGACCTTTGAGTGAGTCGGCTTACAGTGTCAGTGGCGTTTGTCAAGGCAAGCAAGGGAAATGCCATGCATCATTGCAGCCATCATAACTACCGGTAGTAACATAAACTACGGTAAAAAACCATGTGGAATGTGTACAATTTGTATAAAGTTCTGATCATGGCACACAAGCAGCCTCGTCGTTCATCATTCACTGGCACGAAAAGCACTCTGGCCCACCACAACGCCCTTCCACACAAGTGCGGTACCATAATGACATGCCACTACAATGTGTCAAAGTTAATACAGCGGAATGACTAGAAAGGGGAAGGTACAAGCAAGATGTATGAAACCCTAGATGGGTTGTACTCTACAAGTGCTACCAGACTACAGCCTACAGCAAGATATACAATATGATTTGACACACCCCCATAGGCAAAGTGGGGGATAGCAAGCATAACAAGCGGTCACAAGTCCAGTCAAGAGAAGAACAAAGCTCAGGGTGGATTTCAAGGACACCACACATCCTGAGCACAAGCAAGTGGCCATAAAGCCAGTTCACATGCAGTTTTATAATAGAGCAAGCAGTACAATGATTACAACTGCAACCAGAAACATGCAGGTTTATATATCAAAGTACAAGACAAGGTCAAGAGACAAGCAGGTGAGGCAGAGTGGGCATAAGCCCAAGAGCAGTGCAGAAACGCTGATGATCACCAGACCCTAGGGCCTTAATGAAGACATCAGCAGTGTTGGCCCGTGTGGCCACGTACGAAAGGCGAAGCTGGGAGCGCTGCTGCAACACTCGCACGGCAAAGGAACGAAGTGCAAAGTGCTACGTTCTGCTCGCGAGTCTGACCAAGTAGCGCAACACCCTCCTAGAAGCCCACCAATGCGCAGGGTGGTGTCTCACGGGTGCAACGTAGCGAGCAAGGAGGCTGAGAGGGTACGGAAGGTACTCCGGCTCGAACTGTCTGTCCTCAAGGACGTCACAGCCAAGGGCAAGCTCACCCCCGACGGACGTAGGACACGAAGAGGCAGAAACGAGACCCGCACGGTAGGCACGGCGGCAAGTAGTGGCAAAGCCAGCGGGGTCAGCTACTAAGGCAGAAGCAGCAGTAGTCGATGAAGCATGTGCGGTCCAAGCGCAGCTAGACAACAAGGGATAGTCGGGCTAGCAGCACGAGCAAGGTCAGACACAGGGTCAGGAACGGCAGGAAGAGAAGACGGGGGAGGGAACGGCAGGACAACAGGCTCCCGAGACAGGCCAAGCGGCGGAAACAACCGAGGAGTAGTACAAGTCGGCGTCGGCTCAGGTAGCGACGACGACGGCTGCTCCAAGAAGATAGGCCGCCGCGGCAGCGACTGCAACGCACCCCCAGACCCAGCACCTCTAGCGCCAGTACCTCCAACTCCACCAACAAGAGGACTCCTAGCACCCCCAGAGTCAGCACCTCCAGCACCCCCAGAACCAGCACCCCCAGAACCAGAACCCGCAGCGTTACCACCCCCAACAACACATGGGCCCCCGTAGTCCACAGCGACAGGCTGCAGAGAAGGCGAAGACGTCAGGCGGAAAACCCGGAGGTGTCTCCAAGTGCGGCGAGCGACGAGAGGTCGCTGTGTCGACAGCAGCAGGGTCACCACCCCCGGTCAAGCCAGGGGAGTCAGAGGGGACTACGAGACACGAGAGAACAGTGGAGGGGTGCGCATAGACTAGCCCAGAGGTGGGGTCTGCCAGAGTGACAGGGACCGAGAGCAACGCCTCCGCAGGACTCGCACCTGTGCTAGTAGGCGCACACGCAGCGACACACGAAGGCTAACTCCTGCTGCCCGCCCCCGCCACTCCCGCCAGCTCCACTACGACCACTCTTGTCAGCTGCAGTGGCGAGGTCTGACAGCGCTGGGAAAGTAAGAGGCAGTGCAAGACATCCTAGGGTGGCAGGAGGGGGGGGGTAGCGCCTAACCACAGCGGTATAGAAAGCATGGGCCGACGGCACCTGGCGAAAGTGGGCTCTTTGGTCGCGCGAGAGGTGAGGGCGTACTGCAAGTTTGGCGGCGGTGTCGTGCGCCATCCACTGCTTGTAGGCAACGTGGTCTGCGCGGTACTGCGTCCGCACCTCCTCCTCAGCGTCAGCAGCAGGCACAGCACGTTCCTCAGGGGGCCGGAAGGGACCCCGACGTGTGCTCGAACAGGGAGGCGTTGTCCTGAGTGACACTCTGGAGGTACTGGTGAAAGCCCTCTAGCCAGGACTCAAACCCAAGCGAACGCCCCTCTGTGTCTAAGGCTAGCACAGTGGGAGTCGCCATAGCAGCTGTAACGGCAGCAATAGCAGTAGCAAGGGCAGTAGCAGCAGCAGCAGCAACAAAGGTGGCAGTCGTGGCGGCTGTAGCAGTAGCAGCGCTCGGGGCAAGGCAGCGCTAGTGCGGGACAGGGCAGCGCGGGGCAGCGCACGCGGGTGGCAGCAGCAGACGGCAGCACCTAGGGCGCCAGCAGCAGGAGGCGGCACCTAGGGCAGCAACTGGCGGTAGCACATAGGGCGGCAGCACCTAGGGCAGCAGCAGGCGGTAGCAGCAGTCGCGCAATAGAGCACGCAGGGCAGGGCGCGGCAGAGCGCGCTGTGCACTGGCTGGGCAGGGCAGTCGCGCGCGGGCAGGGCAAGCGTGCGAGCAGGGCAGGCGCTCAAGGCAGGGCAGAGCAATAGCGCGCGGGCAGCGCACGGTGCAGGGCGGCGTGCGGGCTGGAGCTGCAGCAGTGGGCGACAGCTGTAGCAGCGGGCGACAGCTGCAGCAGCGGCACTTGCGTGCGGGCAGGGCAGGAGCGGGCAGCGCTAGCAGGGCAGGGCAGGGGCGCGCGGGCGCTGGGCAGCGGGGCGCGCACGGACACGGGGCAGCGGGGCACGCGCGGGCGCTGGGCAATGGGGCGCTGGCGCTGGGCAGCAGGGCGCGTGCGGGCACGGGGCAGTGGGGCACGCGCGGGTGCTGGGCAGTGGGGCACGCGCGGGCATGGGGCAGCAGGGCACGCGCGGGGGCTGGGCAGCGGGGCGCGCGCTGGCGCTGGGCAGCGGGGCGCGCGCGGGCGCTGGGCAGCAGGGCACGCGCGGGCGCTGGGCAGCGGGACACGCGCCAGTACGGGGCAGCATAGCGCGCACGGGCACTGGGGAGCGGGGCGTGCGGGGCACGCAGGCAGCAGGGCGCGCGGGGCGCGCAGGGCAGCAGGGCGTGCGGGGCACACGGGGTAGGTCAGCGCGATAGCGCTGGGCATGGCAGAGCACGCGCACGGCGAGCAGGGCAGCGCGGGCAGCAGCGCAGCACGCACAGCAGCAGGGCAGCGCGCGGCGTAGCAGTGCGAGCAGCAGCGCAACACGCGCGGCAGCAGGGCAGCGCGCGACGGCAGCAGCTCCTGAGGCAGGAGTGACGGTGGGCCTTAAAAAACTGGTCCTAGATCAGGACCTGCTCTGAAACCATGTCAAAGTCAATACGGCGGAATGACTAGAAAGGGGAAGGTACAAGCAAGATGTATGAAACCCTAGATGGGTTGTACTCTACAAGTGTTACCCCACTACAGCCTACAGCAAGATATACAATATGATTTGACACAACGTGCTGCAAGGGGGGGTGCACATTCGTCTAGGTGTTTTTGGGGGGCAGTGCACACCTTGGCGCGGCATGACTGGATCACGAAGTGAGCATGTTTCTGAAACACGGGAGCGATGAAGTCAACCAATTTCGCCATAAAGTTGGGCTGGGGGAAGAAACCGCGAAAGGGCGGGAATAGCAGAGCGTAAAAATGATACCACAAGAAATCTTAATTTAAACACACATTGTGTTTTGTAAATTGTGTATTGTGAAAACGAAGCTGCTTGTACTGCACAATTGGCATCGTTGAAGCGCGCTAAACGCCCTTTTCCAACTACAAAAACCATTGGTTGGAGTTCATTTCCCTCCACCCACGTTTCCCTAGTTTCAACCAATCAGAAGTTGTCGCACTGCATCAAACCCTATTTTCGCCAGTTCGTTTTCACACACACCTCCTTGTCAAGATTACAAAACATGCCCAGCGCTTCGCAATTCGGGCCTAGAGCTTTAAACTGCCAGCCCGTATTTTGTAACACATATTTTGGCATAATCAAAGCATGCTTAATGTCCTTCTCCAACTACAAATTGTGGGTTGAATCTAATTTTCCTCCAACCAAGTCACTCATTTTCCAACGGCTCATGCAATTCTCCCACCCCCTCCCCAACACCAAAATATATCTTCGTTGTTGCTTGAACAGGATGATAGTTAACATAATGGCATGTACTAGCACGTACAGCCTTACCGCCCCTCTCTAGCATAGTAACCCTCTCCACAGCCAAGGGGCCACGTCGCGGCGGCCTCGCCGCCTCATCACATGTTCGTCCAGCCTCCATCTCATCCTATAATTGCAGCCTCGTCGCAGCCGCCATGCCACGTCGCATCATCCTCGTATCTCCATCGCGGAAGGCTTGCGACACCGTCGTTGCAGCCTCATCGCCATGTCGCCACCTTGCGGCCGCCTCCATCGTCGCCCTCGTCGCATCCTCCTCACCGTATCGGCTCCTCACCAAAGTTGTCTCCTTGCCGTGTCTCCTCCTTGCCGCCACTTCACCTCATCATCGTCGTCCTGCCTCATCGCCATCTCGCCCCCTTTCAATCCCCCCTCACCACTCTCCTCCCTGTCCGCCTCTCTTCTTAGCACCTCCCTCTCTCCACCCTAAATACTGTCGCCCCTCTCTACTCCATGTCCTCGCTGTCCTCCACTCTCCATGCCCCGTCGCCCCCTCACCCTTGCCTCCTCGCCTCCTAAGAACCTCCCTTCCACATCATCAACGTCTCGCCACTTTCCATCCCGCCTCCCCACTCTCCACCCTGTCCTCCTTCCTCCACCCTGTCCTCCTCTATCCGCCCTATCCTCCTCTCTCCACCCTGTCCTCCTCTCTCCACCCTATCCTCTTCTCTCCACCCTACCTCCTCTCTCCACCATGTCCTCCTCTCTCCACCCTGTCCTGCTCTCGCCACCCTGTCCTCCTCTCTCCACCGTGTCCTCCTCTCTCCACCCTGTCATCCTCTCTCCACCCTGTCCTCCTCTCTCCACCCTGTCCTCCTCTCTCCACCCTGTCTCCTTGGCTCCTCACAACATTGCCTCCTCGTAGCGGGCCTCGTCGCATCGAGTACCCTTTTGCATGTTCCCCGCTCCTTTCCCTGCTCCCCTTCTCACTGGCAGGACCCAGGTCGGCTTTTGCACTCGACCTTGAGAACCGTGTATGCCCCCTTCCTCCCCTCTCTCATCCCTTCCTCCCCTCTCTCGTCCTTTCCTCCCCTCTCTCATCCTTTCCTCTCCTCTCTCTTCCCTTCCTCCCCTCTCTCATCCAATCCCCCCTCTCCCATCTCTTCCTCCCCTCTCTCACCCCTTCCTCCCCTATCTCAAAAAAGGGGGGCTGAAGTGTCAAACATATATATGTGTTATAGTTTTGGGTAGGCTGTAGTGGGGTAGATACTGTGGGGTACAACCCCTTAGGTTTCTTCCTTGTACCAAATCTCTCGATAGTGCAAGTCATTCATGCCTAAGTTTCTAAGATGGTATCTAGAGCAGTAGGTCTTTAGGACCTAAGATTAGGGCCCACCGTTTACCGCGTTACCTCACCTACCGCCTTGCCTGCCTGCCTGCCTTGCCTGCTGCCCGCGCGCGCCTCAGCTGCACGCGCGCGGCCCTTTTTTTTTCCCGCACGCGCCGCTTAAACAGCCCACACAGCCCGTTTTCGGCCCCGCGCGCCGCGTTAGCAGCCCGCGCAGCCTGCTGCCGGCCCGCGCGCCGCTTAAGCCGCCCGCGCGCAGCCCGCTTAGGCCCCGCCCGCGCAGCCCGCCGCCGCACGCAGCCCGCAGCCGTGCGCAGCCCGTCGCCACGCGCAGCCAGCAGCCGCGCGCAGCCCGCAGCCGCGCGCAGCCCGTCGCCACGCGCAGCCAGCAGCCGCGCGCAGCCCGCAGCCGCGCGTGCCCTGCCCGTGTGCCGCCCGTGAGCCGCGCGCCTGCCTGTCTTAGCCTGCCTGGAGCGCCTCCCTTGAGCGCCTGCCTGCCAAGAGCGCCTGCCTGCCTTGAGTGCCTGCCTGCCTTGAGCGCCTGCCTGCCAAGAGCGCCTGCCTGCCTTGAGCGCCTGCCTACCAAGTGCGCCTGCTTGCCTTGAGCGCCTTTCCTGCCGCGCGTGCCTCCCTACTGCGCGCGTTTGCTTGCCCTGCACGCCATCTCCGATGCCTTGCCTGCACTGCTACTATGGCGACGCTTAATGTGCTCGCGTTCGATCCTGACGGTCGTCCAGTAGAGTTCGCCACCTGGCTCGACGACCTGCAACTGTTCCTCCTGACTGATGCCAAGGACGGTGTTTCCCTGTTCGATTACGTGTCTGGCACTGCCGTTCCTCCTGCTGACACTGCGCCTGCTCTAGACCGCTCCCAGTGGCAGACTCGCGATGCTGCTGCGCGCCTAGCTATTCGCAACCATCTGCCGATCACAGAGCGCGCGCATTTTAGCCAGCACAAGACTGCCAAGGCACTATACGACGCTGTAGTTGCCCGCTACTCTTCCCCGGCCACTGCAGCCCTCGGTCGACTTATGCTACCCTACCTGTTCCCCGACCTGTCCTCGTTTACCACCGCTGAGGACCTCATCTCTCACCTACGCGCTAGTGACACTCGCCTTCGTGCCGCCCTTCCAGCCGAGTTCCTCGCAGAGAACCACCCCCCGATGTACTTTACTCTCTACTTCCTCATCACCCGCCTCCCTGACACTCTTCGCTCAGTCAGGGACCACTTCCTCGCCCTTGACCCCCATTCTCTCATTGTCGACGAACTCGAGAAGCACCTCCTAGCAGCAGAGAAGAACATTCTAGCTGTAGGTGCTGCTCGTGGTACTCCCCGCACTCCCCTCTTTGAGGGGTGCTCCCCCTCCCCTCTTACCCCCTCCTACGCCTCCGCAGCTGCTGCCGTCGACCTCCTTGGTGCTGAGAAGGTCGCAGCTGCTTCCGCTCCGAGTGGGAAGCGCAGCGGCTTCAGGGCGGGCAAGGGTGGCAGGGGTGGCGGACGTGGCGGTGGAGGGGGCGGTGGTGGAGGCGGCGGGGGCGGTGGAGGTAGTGGCGGTGGTCGTGGGGGTGGAGGTAGTGGTGGGGGCGGTGGTGGTGCCGGGAGCAGTGGCGGTGGCGGCGGCGGTGGTGGCGGAGGGGGGAGTGGTGGTGGCGGCGGTGGTGGGGGCTTGGGTGAAACCAGTGGTGGCCAGGGGCAGCAGCAGCAGCAGCGTCAGCGCCAGACCCCCACTTCCCAGCAGCTTCTTGACTGGTATGCCGGGCGTGGGGCGTCTGGGGGTCCTGGTCGCTGCCCCTATATCATTCGCACAGGTCCCCGCGCTGGTCGCAAGTGCACAGGGTTTCACACTGAGTACCACTGCTTCGCTCGGCTTAGCGACGCCTGGCGCGTCAAGTTTCCTGATGCTACTGAGTTCCCCAACTGGGCAGACCTGCTTAGGCGTGATGTACCTATCTTTGATCTTGACTATGAGGCTATTCTTGCTGCCATGGATGCATTGACTGTTAGTGCTGAGGGTGACTGCTACTTGTGTGTGCCGCCTGACCCCGGTATAGCCCCAGGTATAGCGCCTGTGGCACTAGGTGCTTGTGAGTCTGCTCCTCCTGGTACTGCGTCCGCACAGGCCTTGCACACCTTCACACTTGACTCTGGTGCTTCCCGCTGTTTCTTTCGCGACAGCACCACAGTCACTCCCCTCCCTGCACCTGTTCCTGTCTCACTGGCTGACCCCTCTGGGGGCCCAGTGCTTGCACGGACTTCCACTGTGCTTCCGTGTCCGGCGGTCCCATCTGGTGAGCTGTCTGGTCTCCACCTCCCCTCGTTCTCTACGAACTTGGTGAGCAACGCCGTCCTTCAGGATCACTGGGTTGACACCTTTACTCCTGGAGGACAGCGTGTGGCGATCTGCACGTGCTCCCGGACCGGCCGTCACCTGGCCACGTTCACACGTGCGCCTGGGTCTAGTCTGTACACCCTCACCACTGCGTCGTGCTCCACCCCTTTGTCTCCCCAACTGTACGCGTCTGCTCAGGTAGCTACCCAGTGTGAGTGTCGCCGGCTGTCGCACGACACTCTCCTGTGGCACCACCGCCTTGGTCACCCCTCCCTGCCTCGCCTTCGTAGCATGCACTCTCGCTTCCTGGTCTCTGGCCTTCCCAAGTCTCTGCCTGCCCTCCCTCCCTCGCCTGCGCCGCCCTGCATTCCTTGTGTCGAGGGCGGCAGCGCGCCGCTCCTCACTCCTCCTCGTTCCCTCCCACAGAGGCTCCACTGCAGACTCTCCACCAGGACGTGTGGGGCCCAGCCCGCGTCCGTGGACAGGGCCACGAGCGGTACTTCCTGCTGGTCGTCGACGACTACACGCGTTACACCACGGTCTTCCCCTTGCAGCGCAAGGGGGAGGTCCCTGATGTTTTGATCCCCTGGATCCGCGCTGTTCGTCTCCAGCTCCGCGAGCGGTTCCAGTCGGACTTTCCTGTCCTGCGTCTGCACTCTGACAGGGGTGGTGAGTTCTCCTCAGACCTCTTGGCAGCCTTCTGTGCGGAGCACGGCATCCGCCAGACGTTCACGCTTCCGGCCTCTCCGCAGCAGAATGGGATTGCTGAGCGCCGCATTGGCTTAGTCATGGAGGTCGCTCGTACCTCCATGATCCATGCGGCTGCCCCCCATTTTCTGTGGCCGTTTGCGTTCCGGTACGCCGCGCATCAGCTCAACCTCTGGCCCCGTGTCTCCTTGCTGGAGACCTCGCCCACACTGCTGTGGACGGGGAAGGTTGGCGATGCGTCGCGTTTCCGGGTCTGGGGTGCTCGTGCCTTTGTCCGCGATACCACCGTGGACAAGCTCTCCGCTCGCGCCATTCCCTGCGTCTTCCTTGGCTTTGTCCCTGACGCGCCTGGCTGGCAGTTTTACGACCCCGCCTCGCGCCGTGTCTTTCCGTCTCAGGACGTCACCTTTGACGAGTCCGTCCCCTTTTACCGTCTCTTTCCCTACCGCACTTCCCCTCGCCCCCCCCCGCCGCTCTTTCTCGCCCCAGGTCCTCCCCAGGTAGACCCCCTCTCCGCGCCAGGTCCTGCTCCTTCAGGTGTTTCTCAGGTAGACCCTCCCGTGCCTGCGCCTGTTGAGGTCACTGGTGACTCAGGTCCTGCTGGGGGTGGTGCTGTCTTTGGGGGTGCTGGGCCTGGGGGTGCGGAGCTTGGGGGTGCTGAGCCTGGGGGTGTGGAGCTTGGGGGTGCTGAGCCTGGGGGTGCGGAGCCTGCGCGTGAGGACCCAGGAGGTGCTGAGCCGGGGGGTGCGGAGTCTGGGGGCGCTGAGCCTAAGCGTGAGGAGCCTGGAGGTCCTGAGCCTGGGGGTGCTGTGTCTGGAGGTGCTGAGCTCGAGCGTGAGGAGCCTGGGGGTACTGAGTCTGGGGGTGCGACGCCTGAGGGTTCTGAGTCTGCTGCTGCGCGGTCTCCTTGGAGTAGCCGCCTTCGTCCGCGTGTGCCTCTCACCTCACAGCAGCTGCACGACTGGTACGGTCGCCGTCAGGGTCGCGCTTCTGGAGCTCGGGGCTCTGCCGCTGGAGGTACTTCTGCTGACGTCACTGGAGCTGGGAGTGGTGCTGGTCCCGGAGGTGCTCGTACTGGAGGTGCTGGAGCTGCTGGGGCTGGAGGTGCTGCTGAGCCTGAGGGTGCTACTGCTGGAGACCCTGGGTCTGGGGGTGCTGCTGCTGGAGATACTGGGGCTGGAGACCCTGGGACTGGGGGTGCCGGTTCTGGGGGTGCTGCTACTGGTGGAGCTGGTCCTGGAGGAGCTGGCGCTGAGGGTTCTGGAGCTGCTGGAGGTGCTGGAGCTGCTGGGGGTACTGGAGGCTACTGGTGCTGTGTGGCACTGCACAGCCGCGCCTGTTCTTCGCTCCACCGTCTCCGTCGTCTCAGCCACCGCCTGACTCTGTACTTCGCCAGGTTCTTAGTCTCCCTTCGTCTACTGGTCTTCCGTTACAGCCTGGCTCACCGTTGCCTGCTCCTTCTCCTTACGCCGAGCAGACAGGGGGTCTTACTGAGCGTCGTGAGCCTTCGTCACGTCCTGTCTCGCCTGTCTGTTCTGGTCGTTCCGGTCGTCGTGTTCCTCGTCCGCGTCAGCCGGCTGTCCCCGGCACCCACCTCGTAGTCCGTCGTCTCCTTCCTCCTCCTCCGCAGCGTGTTCCTCTGCCGTCTCCTCCTGCGTCTTCTCTGCCTGTTGTTGCGGACCCTGAGTCTGACCGGTTTCGTGCTGAGCACCCTACTATCACGCGTCTGCTAGCCACTGTTGTCACTGACCCGTCGTTTGAGTCTGCTGCTGCGTCTGCCTTTGTCGCTGAGCTGGTTGACTTTGCTGCTGCCTGTCGTCTGGACTACG